GGTTTCTGCGTTTGTTGGCGAGTTGTTCTTCTTGACGGTTCCGCAGAATCGGTGGTGATTCGGTCAACCATGGCGATTGATTCCTAGGTTGATGGGTTCTTGGTAGTCTCCGTGTCTCTACCTTGGCGCACTCTACGCGGCTTTTCCGAAGTTAATCCGACTCGCGTGAGTACAGAAATTCCAAACCCAAAGGCTTCGGTCGACAGGAGATCAATGGGATCCTGTCTATGTGAATGTTAGATGTAACGGTGTAAGGTTCCGGATCAACTCCGGAAACACTTGGTTTTGGATGTAGTCTGAACAGACAGCTGCGATATTGTTTGAATGCCGTCACCGGCGGTGGTGAGATTTTTGATATAATGTAACGGCGCAGGCAAGACTACTCGGATCAGTATCGGCGGTAGTGTCACTCAGAGGCATATGGGAGTGCGTGGGACATCAAACGAGCCTTAATTCGAATAGACACCTATAGGCCTTGTACGAAAGGATATCAAAAATCTATCGAGCTACGGTATGGAGAAGGTGGGGTTTTATATCAGCAGATCTGCCCTCGGCTAGTGCGTGCCCATGTTCGGATCCCTTTCGGATGTTAGTTCAGTGTGTACTCGAACCGTTACACCAAGAGATTGGCTCACGCGATTATCACGCGCAAACCTGCTCAACCCCAGTACGTACGTACTGCTTATCCATGCACATCTAGCTCCACTGCGTATGGCATCAATGGGATCCCCATCTATTGAGATGAGCATTATCAGATCATCGCTGATATGGGTTCTTCAGTCTGCTACACTTAGTGGCTCTTGCTCAGAATCTCTGGTAAAGACCCCAGTCGGTTTCCTTAGGCGAAGCTTGGACTGAGTAAAAGTAGCTTTCCACACAAGCGCACGGATAGAGTATGAAGCCCAGAGATCAACTAGTGTGACGACAGGAATAACAATTGATTCTCACTGAGAGTGTTTCGCATCTGAAGCAATATTGGATGTTCGTGTTTGTGCCTGACAGCGCATGAGGTGGTGCGCATGTGCGCGGCGTAATCGGTCTACTGCAAGTAGGCGCAGCGCATCCTGGCTATCCCTCGCAGGTTACGAAAAAGACAAGTTCGGGGCAAGTTCGTCAGAGTTGCAAGCGTAATGGTGGGCGCAAGAAGGAAAAGATCATCAGGGCCTTGGACGTTGCCATGCACGTGTTGCGGGCCAGAGCCGTCAAATCCAGCGGTGAACCAATCAGGCCTTACGTCACCGTGCCAACGAATCCAGGCTGGGCAGAGACACCACAGCCGCACCGGCCGCGCGCCCATCTACACATCGACCTTGGCCAAACCGCACCATCTACTGCCCATATTCCCTCCAGCTACTGTCAATTGTGTGCCACTTAGCGCACCCATTGTTCTGTATTCCCACTGCTTGTCCGCAACTTGTCTTGTGTGCTTGTCCACTCCCCCAGCCATCTCCATATCGATAAATCGCTCGTTCTCCTGCCACACCGCAGCCTTTACTGGCGCAAGTCGCATCTCTTCTCCCGTACAACACTCGCTCAGTCCACGACATCACTTCCTCGAAAATGCGTGCCGCCTTCGCCCCGCTGCTACTGGCACCGCTGGCAGCCCTCGCCGCACCCGATCTTGTTGCCGACTTCGAGCCCGCCGTCGAGGGACTACAGAACAAAGTATACGACTCGATGCCCACGGCCCCGGCAAATGTACAACCCGAGCTCCTCAAAAGACAGGGCAACGCATGCGCAAACAACTACTTCGACTGCGCTCGCCTAGGCGCTCCGGGCCTCTGCTGCCCTCGAACGGCAGTCTGCTCCGCCGACCAGGCCGGTCACGTAGCATGCTGTCCTCAGGGCGTTGCATGTACCGGAGCTCTCGCCGTCCCAACAGCCAACCCCACCGCAACTACGTCAGTGCCATTTGTGATCGCCAGCACAACCACGGGCGGGCCCTTCGTGCAGCAGACGAACGGCGCAAACCACGGAAGCACGGTACAGAACCAATTCTACCCTTTCCCGTACATACCGACGACTTATCAAAACGCAGCTGCCTGCTCGTCCGCTTATACAAGCTGCCAAAGCGATGCTGCAAGCTGTACAAATGCTCTTGCCAATGGCGCCCCGGGCGTAACCGTTTCCGCTCCCAATGGCGGCGCTACCATTACTGCGATTCCAAGCGTCGGTCTTTCGTCTGCACAGAGCATTTGCTCAAGCTTGAGTAGCTTGGGCTGCTCCCAGTTGACTGTCGAGGCTTGTCGCGCGTTTGACGGTAATGGAAACGCTGCGTGGAGGGCACCCTGCCGCGATTACCTCATGACTGCCGGAGTTGCCCTCGGCATAGCAGGTCAGCTTCTCACATAATTTGCGGTTTCGAGAGCGCGAGAGAGAGAGATGCAGTCTAGTCACTTTCGATTCTAATGTGGATAAATAATGGCTGGATGTGGAGGTGAATTTTCCTTTTCCAAAATACTTGTCAACAGACTGGGGGCAGAGTTGGTTCAAAAAACTAACAACTCGTGCTTCGGCACTCGAGGTCATGTGGTTTTTCGCTCTTTGTTTCTGAGTCTGTTTCTCTGTCTCCTTCCTCTTTATTTTTTTGGCATTCTTTTTGGCGTTTTCATGGAAGCGACTTTCTCGCTCAGCGATGTTTTCATGTGCCAATTGACAGATACGAAGTTCACAAGAGAGAGAGAGAATGCAGCTTATGCCTTTGTCGCCGTATATATATATGTACTGCATGAGTGGCTTTTGTAGATATGTGCACAATCAAAATGTTTATCCATCTACTTTTTACTCTGAACTGGTGGTGATGTCATGACGAAGGGAGATTGAGTGACTGGATTTTGTTTTTGTCATCTTTGATCCGGTCACGATGACACTAGACACATGGATGCACATCATATGTATTGGTATATAGACGAGAGGAATGGACATGTATGTTACAAAGCAATAAGATGGAATCAAAGACAGAAAGTAGCTACTATACTATAAACTTCTTTTTACTTTGTATAATGGTATTACAATATAAACGTTGGGTACTTTTCCTTCCCTTTCCCACTATATACATCGCACCAGTGCGAACATCTGTAAACCAATTGCAGCATAACCCACATGACCTCTTTACTTTTCCCATTCCCTACTCCTCAACCCAATTATATACACACATTACAAAATCATTCCACCGCCTCAAAACCTTTGAGCCGGCTCCACCCTGCCCCCCGCAACAACCCCATCAATCCGCTCAAAACTGCTCTTCCGACTCACTTCCTCCGACTCCTTCCCAAAATCCTTCTGCTTCAACTCCCAACTCCCAATCCTTTCATGCCCCTTCTTCGCATCGACCACCGCGCCTGCTGCACCCTCACTTGTAAGCCTCAGATCAGCATCAGACGCAAGTTTCGCCACGCCCTTGAAGCCGCCCAGTCCCCTTCCCTTACCAGTACCATCATTGTTATCGACGTTGCGTTGCGGACGGTGCACTCGCACACCACCAAACACCATAACGAGTGCAAAAACAACAGCAGCAACGACGAGCGTGACGACCGCGCCAATGATACCGCCTACAACGGGGGAAAGTCGGGCTTTGAGTTCGCGGATGGAAGATGGAGAGGAAGAAGGCAAGTCATCGAGACTCTTCTTTGCTTCAGCGCCCCAGCAGAACAGACTGCCGCTGTTGCATGTGCGGCACCATTCTGCGATGCCGGACACGGCTATGGCGGTGAACTGGCGCTCGAACTCGGTCCAGGACATGTCTGTGTTCGAGGGTTCGTGGTTGAACAAAGGGTAAGCGACGAGTTGCTTAGCGTCTGTGGCGTTGTGGAAGGAGAAGCGGACCCAGAGGTTGTCAGGGCTGGGGCTGGGTTCTTTGATTGTGCTGAAGAGTTCGAAGATGAGGGCCGAGGCGTAGGAAGGGATGGATTTGAAATTCGGAGATTTTGTGTCGAGGTTGAGGAGGGAGATGAGGCCCGTCATTGCGTCTTCTTCGCCAAAGTAAAAGGTTAGGCGCTGGGATGGGGAGCTCTCGTTACTTGGCTTGGTTTTATTGGCGATTTGAAGGTTGAATGAGTCAAGGACAGAGCTGGCGAGAGTCTTGCCTCCAATGGCCTGGTGGTTTGCATCGGTTGGTAGGTCTGATGCGTTGCCGTAGAGGTGCCAGGCAACTTCATCGGCAAGGTGGCCGAGCCGGTCATAGGTACCAGTGTAGTCAGAGTCGTTTGCCGATAGGGCCTTGTAGACGCTAGAATTGTGCGAGTATTGGTAAGAGATGTAGTCGGATATCTCAAGAGCCGAACGGGCATTACTATTGACAATCAGCTTTTCTGTGTACCAGATATGAACCTATGTGACAATTGAACTCACAAATATGCCTCGGGAAGTGTGCCTTCCAGCCAGTCTAAGTTCAATTTCTTGAACAGATCAGCATTGGCCGCCTCCATTTCCTTGAACTTTTTTGTTTCGAAAAAGTTCAGTGCAGCTACTTGCGCAAGAGGACAGTTTTGCGATCCAGAAATGAATCTTGAATCAGGGTCTTCTAGACCAGCAGCTTGGATACTGGCATACTGGTATCCGTTGAGCGGGTAATCAACCTGGGTGCCATCTGCAAGGCGGCTAGTGACTTGTCCGGTTCCGTTGGAATTGCTGTTCGGAGGATATAAACCCTGCATAAATGCTTGTGCAGAAGAAACAAGGTATGGTTTTTCCAGAGTTTGAACCCTTATTTGGTCATTGTCTATGACATCGACTGACATTCCTGCAACATGCTGTACACCAAGCTTGTTTGGTGAGTCGCCAGTGATGTATCTTGTTCTGAAGTTTTCTCCGAGCGTGTACATTTGTTGGGCGCCTAGTGCCGTCAGGACCTGGGTATCGTTTCGTAGAATGGGCGTTCGCTCTCCAGTTCGAATAAAGGCGAAAGAGGCAAGCGTGTAGTGAGCACTATCATCTGAAGAAGCCTGGGCTACGACAAGCCCGGCCGAAGCCACAGCTGCGACCGAAATGCGCATGAGCATAGTGAGAGCTTTTTGAATTTGTATACTTTAGCACCAGTAACAGGCTTGAGCATAGGCACTGGGATTGCATCTTTATTTATTCTTAATGAATGCGGCACAGGCAACTAGCTGCATATCCACCCTCAAGGCAAACCGTCAACTAATTAGGCTACCCGCCAGAAGAAACAAGCCACAGGCTCGTAGCTCCCCAATTACGGCGGTGACTAGCGGTCTAAAGAGGAATTAGCGCAGAATCAAATCCCATCTATTTACGCGCTGCATGCCTGAGTGGGGCGCAATGCGGCGTATTGTCCCGCCCTGCAGTAATAGTGTTTTCTGTCTCGACCAACAACCAATACGCAGACCAATAACTTCGACTGTATGCAACCCAACCTCGACAGGTGCACGAGCGAGGACGATGCATGGCGTGGTGTTTATGGACTTCCAAATCAGCCGGATTGCATGTCAGCATCATGAAAAACGGTATGACCGTTTCGTCTTGAAGGATCTAACTGGGCTGTCAAACGCGGTGGGCCGGGGCCGAGTAGCAGTGCAGTGGTCAGTGTCTGCTAGTCCTAAGCTGTGATTGCCTGCCCTCACATAAGGCCATAACCGCCATACCCTATGCAGATACTGCTCCATGTAAGTAAACGCTTCTTGGCACCATCACCGACAACCGGTCAAAGGAAACACGCCATGTCTTCAGGTACAATTCGAGTCACGTCACATTGCAATTACTATTTGTCGCACATGGACGGGAAGTAACCACAAATGTATACTGCATGCAGCCCGGCCGTCGACTATTTGACCCTGCGCAGGACGCCTTCTGTGGATGCATGTGCATGCGGTGTACTCATGACAAGCTTTGCGGATGTAAAAAGGGTGGAGTTTAAATGTAAAAGCGGCCCATCTCAGCCTAATTTTGCACACGGTCCAACCCATAGCTGGGCAAGTCTGGACCTGTCATTGAATTGAGGCCTCCCACTAGGCTCACCACAAGCTGCCGACCCACCCGGCTTGAAAGAACTCTTCACGCATAGCAAACTCAGTTACTTGTTTGTTTGATATTAAATAAGATGTCTCTGCCAACAACTGGCAAGTATTGCTACAGCGGCCTTGCGATGCAGTTCAAGGCCTTTGTCCACCGCGCTCAAAACGCCTATTTCGGTCTACTATCAAGCGACTAGAACCGGACATACCCTTGGCTTTTCGTCAAGCACTACTCTACAAGCTAACCTCAACACGGCCCTCGGCACCTGGCGCACCACCAGACTGCAGCGAAGGCAGTAGGTAGGTGATATCATCCCAAGGATGCCTGTAAAGGCCAGTGCGCAGCCTCTTCTGGTCGAGGAAGTGAGCAATCAGACCGATACTTCGGCCAAGAACGAAGAGACCGTTGAGTACACCCATCTTCAGGTAGTCCTCGGCCTCCTCGTTGGAGAAAGCACCACCGTTGCGGACAAGGTCAACAAAGCAGACAGCAATGCAACCGTCAACGTTGAGAATCAGGTTGTCCTTCTTGGACGTTGTGACTGACTCGACAGCAAGAGCATAGTCGAGCAGCTTGGTGCTGGGGAAGTTCTTCTTGACGTACTCCTTGACGAGCTCGACACGAAGATCGGGGTTGTTGCGGGACTTGATCCTGTGGCCAATACCGGGGACTAGGCAATGTTAGCTATTGCATTCACACATCTCTTCCCAAATTCACTTACTCAGCTTGTTCTCTTTCCTCATCGTGTCAACAAAGTCACGAGGGCTGAGACCCTTGTCAAAGGCCTTGCTGAACTCCTCGGCAGCACCGTCGAGCGCACCACCAAAGCGTGATCCAATGGTCAAAAGACCAGAAACCAAGGCACTGATGAGATCCTTGCCAGCACGAGTGGTGATGATGGTGTTCATGGCACCAGAAACGGCGGGACCGTGATCGGCAGTCAACATAAGCACCATCTCGAGGAAACGGCTGGCGTAGTTGGGCAGACGGCGACGGAACCAGAGCAGCGACATGACACCACCGATACCAATTTCCTCCCTGAAGACATCAGAGATGGGCATACCAGCGTAGAGCAGCTCCTGGCCACGGTCATCGGAAATGGTGGAAATGAAAGCAGCAGGCTTTCGGATGAGACCGAGTTCCTGTGCCCATGAGTAGTCAATGGGAATCTTGGGAACAACGGGCTCGGGCTTGGGAACAATGGTTCCGTCCTTGACCAGCTTCTGGTAGACCTGGGCAAGAGTGTTGGGCATGTCCTCAAAGGTCTCTGGCACGTAGATACCAGCTTCCCTCATGGTCTTGTTCTTGGTTGCCGCAGTCTCGAGCTGAGAGTTGGCGAAAGAACCAGCGTGACCGAATTGCACCTCGGTCTTGAGCATACCGGCAACGGTACCAATGGCCCAAGCAACGATGGGCTTGGTGACTTGGCCAGACTTGACGGCCTCAATGACGCGGTATTCCTCAACACCACCGACCTCACCGAGCAGCACAATGATCTTGCAGTCGGGGTCGGATTGGTATCGGAGAACGTGGTCAATGAAAGTGGTACCGGGGTACCTGTCACCACCAATGGCAACACCCTCGAGCACACCGTCGGTAGTGTTGGCAATGATGTTGTTCAGCTCGTTGGACATACCTCCAGACTTGGAGACGTATGAGACGGAGCCGGGGCGGTAAAGTTTCGAGGCAACAATATTGTCCATCATACCACCAGTGTTTCCAATCTTGAACGCACCGGGCTTGATGCCACCAACGGTGGCGGGGCCGATGATGGTAATGCCCTTCTTCTGGGCAACGTGGAGAATCTCGCGAGCACGCTAACCAATGTCAGTTTTTTTTTCATTTTCCAAGATGTAATAGTTGTCCCGGGTACTTACTCGCTCGGGAACACCCTCGGCGATGATGGCAATGCACTTAATCTGGGGGAATTCCATCAACTCCATGGTGGATTGGTAGACGGAACGCGACGAGGCAAAGTTGACGACGGTGTCAACATCGCTATGCTTGCCAACGGCCTTCTCGACGGTCTGGTATACGGGCAGCAGCGTCTCGCTGGTTCCCCAGTACCTGGTTATTGTCAGACGAGCAGTCACACCAAAGTGGGACGATTGCTTGGCACGCACATTTTGCTGACGAACTGGCCGCCGAATGTGTAGATGATACCGGCGACCGAGGGCTGCTTGCGCTTGCAGATGAAGTCGAAGTCGAGCATGCCCTGGACGGCACGGGGCTGCAGTCCGCTGTTGACGGCATGTTAGAGGCGTGCTCTGCTGCATTGGGGCAGGGCGGGGTGTGTTTTCTTACTAGACGAAGCATCGTGTCCTCGGGTGGAAGAGGGTATGGGCAGCCGGGGGGCTCAAGGGCCTCGAGGGAGCGGCAAAGCGGCGGATGTTGTCGTTGGCCGCCTGGGCGGGCGCTGAGGAGGACATGATGGCCGTGTGTATGGGAGCGTCACTTGTCGAAGGGAAGCTTCGGGGAGTTTCTGGGGAGGGCAAAGGGTCAGTCGGGCCCAGGCTCTTGTATGTATGGAGTGCAGCCGTGAGCAGGTAGGCGCGACAATGGCTGGCGGAAGGGTTCGGGGGAGAGAGGTCGCTCAGCGGGAAAAAATGCAGCGGGCAAGGTGTAGGGGCCAGACAGGCACGAGGAGTATAGAAGCGGAGCGGAGGGGATCGAGAGGGGAACTGACCTTATGGGTGCAATGCCGGGCGAGGGGCAGTGCGGCAGATGCTTGGACAATTTAGGAGAAGGTTGCGAGGAGAGAACAGCGTTTGTGGCCAAAAGTGCGGGCGCCTACTCTGTTGGTCTGCTGGCGGTGTTGAGCTGGAGATTGCGCTGCACAAACTAAATCGCTGCGGCGCTAGGCCCAAGACCCGAGCGGTGAACGGGGACCCGAATGTCTTGCTCGTTGCCAATGCCGCCCCTCGGAGTCGGGACAACCATTTTAATTCGCACGGAAAGGCGCCCATCAGCCTTTGTCTCCGGCGCCCGTTGCCATAGTCCGCCTCCAAGGGGCAAAGTCCGCTCCATGGGCAAAGTCCGCCCCAAAGCCGTCGGGATTGCGCTGCTTTCGGGTGGTTACCATCTCGTCGAGGGGCACAGACGCCCTTCCGCTGTGCCTGTGGCCATGGTGGGGTGGGTCGGCGGTGATAGGCCAGTAACCCGCCGAATAGCCTAGCCCTGCATTTGCCTGCACCCTCCCAAGCTCAACACGTAAGGAAAAAAACACCAGACCGCCTCGCACGCTTCGTCTGCCCGCCGTCTGACCATTGCCCGTTTTGCCAGCAATTCTTTCTGATTCTTTCTGCTCCTCGACCCCCCTGTGTCCAACCCTCCCCAACAAATATAGGTTCGTGCCGCCAGCCCCGCCCTGCCAGTTTGCATCCTGTCGTCCCGGCCCCCTCACCATCGTTGTCCGAAGTCGTCTCTGTCGCCGGACATTGCCCAACGCCCCATTTCTCTCCCCGACATTGCTGCCGGCATTGGCTCTGCTCTTCTCTTGTTCCTCCTTCCTTGCCATATCTCCTTGCAGTCCCTTGCCTCGCCCGCAACCTGCTCCTTCTCCTACTCTTTTCTGTCCTGCCCATACTCACCACCTGTAGTGCAGTTTGACCCATCTTCACAATGTCAGCCAAGTCCATCCTCGAGGCCGACGGCAAGGCCATCCTCAACTACCACCTCACCCGCGCCCCAGTCATCAAGCCCACTCCTCTGCCTGCCCAGGCCACACACAACCCTCCCCCCAAGCTTGCATCGCTGTACTTCCCCGCCGACGAGGATGTCAAGGGCGTCCTCGACCAGGCAGAGGCCACATACCCATGGCTGCTGACCCCCGGCTCCAAGTTCGTTGCAAAGCCAGATCAGCTCATCAAGAGGCGAGGCAAGAGCGGTCTGTTGGCCTTGAACAAGACCTGGCCTGAGGCGCGTGAGTGGATCGAGGCGAGGGCAGGAAAGGAGCAGCGTGTTGAGACTGTTGATGGTGTCCTGAGACAGTTCTTGGTCGAGCCCTTTGTCCCCCATCCCCAGGACACCGAGTACTACATCAATATCAACTCTGTGCGAGAGGTACGTTCACCGTGTTTCAATTTTTTCTTCGTCTCTTTTCTTCATTTCTTTGCTTCGAGTCGTTTCAAGTCGGTTTGTGCGAGAACACTGCCTGGCACAGTGACAGGTGTGGAAAAGACATGTTTAGGTGTGCTGGGCGTAAGCTGCGCGAGAGCGTGCGGAGCAGGAGGGCTGGCTCAAGCACACGGGCGTACCGCCTGGTTTTGTTTGAAGGCGGGCCGGACGAAGGGAACACTCGCCGACCCACTTCTGCAAAGCACCTACTCCTTTGCGATGCGCACGTCCACTTTCACATGTCAATTCTCCTGGCGCTTCAAGCGTCTTACGTCCATGTACCGGGTTTTGTCATTCCAGGCCCTTGGTGTTGCGGCTCTTGCCAGCTGCATTTGTGTGGGCCACTGCGCGATCTTGCCAATCCTGTCAATTTTAGCCCGATCTAGCCGCTAACATCTGCACTTAATAGGGCGACTGGATCCTCTTCACCCACGAAGGCGGTGTCGACGTTGGTGATGTCGATGAGAAGGCAGAGAAGCTTCTCATTCCCGTCGACCTCAAGGAGTACCCTTCAAATGAGGAGATTGCTGCTACTCTCCTGAAGAAGGTTCCCCAGGGTGTACACAACGTCCTCGTTGACTTCATCTCAAGATTATACGCCGTCTACGTCGACTGCCAATTCACGTAAGCCATCCGTCTGTAGCGCCTACTACTTGACACTAATGCACTGCTGCAGCTACCTTGAGATTAACCCCCTCGTCGTCATCCCTAACGAGGAAAAGACATCAGCTGAGGTTCACTTCCTTGATCTTGCTGCCAAGCTCGACCAAACTGCTGAGTTCGAGTGTGGTGCCAAGTGGGCTATTGCCCGTAGCGCAAATGCGCTCGGAATAGCTGCTGCTCCTGCAAAGGATGGTAAGACTACCATCGACGTCGGCCCCCCGATGGAGTTCCCTGCTCCTTTCGGTCGTGAGATGAGCAAGGAGGAGGCATATATTGCCGAGATGGACGCAAAGACTGGTGCTTCTCTCAAGCTGACCATTCTCAACGCCACTGGCCGTGTCTGGACCCTAGTTGCTGGTGGTGGTGCTTCCGTCGTCTACGCCGACGCTATCGCCTCTGCTGGCTTTGCTAGTGAGCTTGCCAACTACGGTGAATACTCTGGTGCCCCCACCGAGACCCAGACCTTCCACTACGCCCGCACTGTCCTTGACCTCATGCTCAGGGCACCTCAACACGAGGAGGGCAAGGTTCTCTTCATTGGTGGTGGTATTGCCAACTTCACCAACGTTGCCTCGACCTTCAAGGGTGTCATTCGCGCTCTGAGGGAAGTCGCTCCTCTTCTCATTGAGCACAACGTCCAGATCTGGATCCGTCGTGCTGGTCCCAACTACCAGGAAGGTCTTAAGAACATCAAGAGCGTCGGCCAAGAGCTCGGCCTCAACATGCACGTCTACGGCCCTGAGATGCACGTGTCGGGTATTGTGCCCTTGGCTCTGATTCCCGGCAAGACGACGGACATTAAGGAGTTCTCTGGTTAAGCGCGTGCTTTGTATATTAGGGTCGCGGGTGTAAATGGGGAACTGCTAAAGGCTCATGATGATGGCTAGACAAAGAGTTGATGTTTGACAACTGTGCATGGCGTGAAGAATGCTGTGGCGAAGCCAGTGTTGCTTTGCCTGGCGTATGCCGATGTATATGGTTGTTCGACCAAAGGAATATAACATTTAATAACTTCCATCGTGTGTGTTCTTCTCTCTTTCTCTATATGTGCCCTATCTGTGATTAGTGATGATGCAAAAATGGAGTCATAATAGATGAATGTGGTATGTAGAGTGTTGTTGTGTTAGTCTGATAGAGGGAAGCATAATAGAAAGTAAAAAAGACAAAAACAAAAATATCAGTCGATACACCAGCCCGCCAAGCCACATTCCAACCCCAATAAGAGTAATCCAGCGCCGCCGTCCCATGGTGAATACCAGACTGCAGAATTTCTTCCCTCGTCAAGTTGCATTCATTGCTTAGGTCCCTCCAGCATCACTGGTTACCCGAGTGAGTGGATTTGAAAAAGGACACCACGAGACTCGAACTGGGCTCCTGCTGAGGTGGAGACAGGAAGGTAGATGGGGATGACGGTGTACCTTCTGATGAAGACCCGTTACAGGTGGCAAATTGGGAAAGTAATAGCTTTATAATGATAAGATTTTCGAAAGACGGTACACGAGCATATGTAATACAAATATCGTGCGCTTGATAAGATGATGATGGAAGCGGGGGAAACAAGATTGCGGGGGGCCAATTTGCTTGGGACGGATTTGAGCTCTTATCTCTCCCCCTCTCACACCCCCCTCTTACCCACTTTATCTTGCGAGGTTGCCAACGTTACACACAACACTCAGATTGCCATGCACGCCGTGTGTCATAATTCTTCAACATGCTGAAAATTTCAATGCAAACTATCAAACGAGGGATTTAACCAGAGGACAAGACCAGACCAGATGGATACAATGCACATGACCAGATAACAGCACACGGAGCAATGACGAGAGAAATCCAATAAAGCAAAATGACAGAGACAAAAAACTCCCTTCGCCATGCATAAAACGACAAATAAACAGGAGAGTGTATAAGGAAAATGAGATATGTCTAGGGTGTTATACAGCAATGCCCTTTCGCTTCCAACCACCAGGGCCTCTCCATGCCCAGAGGAAAAGACCCATGGCGAACCAAACACTAATAGTCATGGCCCAGAAGGTGGGCGCATAGCATGCCTTGCCATGGCAAAGGACGTCTTCTGGGTCTTTTTCAACACCAGCCTCGGCACTATTCGCGGCTTTCTGGTACACAGTAGCGTACACGGCGCCCCAGAGGGTAGCGCCTGCAGCAGGCGTCATGGCCAGAATGCCCCAGTTTGTTCCAAAGTTCTCGACGCCCCAGACGACAGAGACAACGATGGGAGTGAGGGAAAATACGGCACCATAACCTGCGCCGATGAGGGCGGAAACAACGGCGAAGCGAGAAGCGTGGTTCTGAACCCAGCCTGTTGCGAGCAGGAGCTGTCCGAGGGAGAGGAGGAAAGCGAATGCTACAAGGAAAGTGATGCGAGACATGGTGAACTTTCGGGGCTGCTCAGGAGGCGGGAGGGATGACACAGAATTTGCGACCGACTCTGGGTTGCGGCAATGCTGGTGCGACTGTGCAACAGGAGCAAGGATGTCAGAGAGTGTGCCGGTAGCCAAGCGAGCGAGGGTCGAGGTGATGGCAACAATGGACACGTGGGTGGCTGGTGAGGTATTGGTCGCGACGTTGGCAGGTGTAAGTGTCTCGATAATGGTGCCTAGGTTGTTGATGAAGGCTTCGCCGGGTCCAGTCACGAGGAAGAAGCCAGCTGCCAGCCACCACATGGTCGGGTCCATAATGAAGAGACGTGTTTCTTCGTTTAGAAGCCACGTCTTCTTACGAGCCTCCTCTTCTGCCTTTGCTTTCAGGCGCTCGGCTTCAGACTGTAGGAAGTCAAAGGTCGAGTCAGATAGGTCCTGCGTTTCCATGGTACCATAGCCATGGTGCTGTGCAGCTTGGTGGAAGAAACCGTCAGGCTGTAGAAGACCAGATCTCTCGAGCTCGTCAACAGCCTCGTCAATCATCTCTTCCTCGTCGACGATGCGTAGGGCGAAGAAGCCGACGGCGCCGACACAAAGCAGCAGGGTGCCCAAGAAGAGGAAGAAGCGGAAGACGTCAACATCTCCCCTGGTTCCATCGGCGTTCTTCTCGTACAACAAGCGGCTTCCAACCTGGCTTTGCCACATGCCGCTCAGTCCAAATGAGGCAATGGGTACCGCCAGAGCCACACCCTTGCTATTACCGCGGCCAAAGTTCTTTGCGCATGTTGTGACGGCAGACAGGTACATGCAACTCGTACCCATGCCGACAAGGGCAAAGGCCAGGATCATGACACCAAAAGGCCATCCATAGCCGCCAGCCGCAGGAGGCGGGCCGCTCCGGTATGCAAATGCAGCCAGAAAGTAGCCAGCGCCAAAGAGAACACCCGCAAGACCGGCGGGGACGCCAGGGCCCAGACGATCACAGAGGTATCCAAAGATGGGGACGAGGAGGTACAGGCCGAGCTCGGCCCCAATGGAGACGGCGTTGACCTGAACCTGGGTGTAATGGAGCTTGGACTGGAACAAATGTCCATAGAGGGAGAAGGCAGTGATGCTGCCGGCGCAGAGGCAGATGACGATGGCCCAGACAAAGCTGAGCCAGCGGAGGGCGGCGCGCTGCATCTTGACGCGGTCCTGTTCGTAGATGCCCTCGGCAACCTGCTCAAAGAAGCTTCCGGCGTAGCTGGTGCCCTGGCTGCGTCGTTGCGACTCGGTATCGCTGTCGGGGGCTAGGAGAGGGCGACGCGCGGGGTTTGAAGGATAGTCGAGCTTGTCGATGGTGGTGATGCCATTACCGCTATGCCGCTTGGAGGCCGGGGGTGACATGGGGGACGCGCGGTACGTGTGACGGGGTAGCGTATGGCGTGGATCGCAGTGGCATGGCCTCGCCCCGGCGGGAATATATGGCGAGCGCCCTTTGTTGGGGGCCTCTGGCAAAGGTATAGATAGTGCACAAAGGGCAACCGGCCGTGTTCCGCGAGACCAGCGGTCAGTCGGCAGCACTTAGACTGCACGTTGGTGTTGTCGCGCGAGGTAGCTTGCACGCCATACCGCCCAGGGAGTGACGCTGCAGCCAAACTACCGGGGCCGCTAGCCGTGGGACCGGGGGGTGGCAGCAATTCGCAATTCCAGTGCAAAGAAATACGCACCCAGCAGAGCAACCAGCAAACTCCACGTCGCCCACCACCACCCGCCCCCATGGCGCCCCAGCACGCCCTCGTCAGCTTCTCCCCCGTAGAGCTGTTCTTTTTGCGCAGGGCCCTGACACAGACGCCCCCCATCCGCCGCGATGTCACCAAAGGGCCCCGCGACTTTCGCTCCATGCGCGCAGAGTATGACGTCTTGCCCACTGCAAACGGAAGTGCGCGCATTGCCCTCGAGGATGGCACAGAGGCCCTTGTTGGCGTCAAGGCTGAAGTGGAAAAGACAAGCCAGCTGCCGACCCTGGGCGAGCCAGAAGATGTAGACATGGGCGACGGCGCCGACGAGAACAAGGCCAAGGGCCAGAATGCGTGGGTCGACATGACCGTCGAGATACCGGGTTTCCGAGAGGACGATGCCCTGCCCGTCTTCCTCGCCTCGATGCTCTCTGAGAGCCTGCTTGCGAGTGGTGAGCTCAAGGACCGGCTCTACATCAACAGGCGCTTTCACTGGAAGCTCTACATCGACGTAAGGAGCCATGTACACCCCACGACCCCACCACCAGCTTTCCCTCTGACAAATGCCAGATCCTCCTGCTCTCGCCGCCCCTATCCTACCCGCTTGCCATGCTCTCCATGACCTCCCACCTTGCTCTTCTCACCACACGCCTCCCCGCGCTCAAGTCGGAAAAAGACGAAGACCCACTCTTCGACGACGACTGGGACGCAGCCGTGCCCCTGTACCCCAAGCAGGCAGGAACAAACAAGACTGCGCCTCAACTAGGGAAGCCACCCGTCATCATACTAGCCATGGCCGTTGGCGCAAACATCATCTTCGACCCGGCTCCGGAGGAGCTAGCAGTCGCAGACGCTGTCCTTGCTGTCGCATGCACAAATTCGACAAACTCCGCTACGGGTGCGCGCATCGTCTCGATACGCACTATTGACCCTCCGTCCCATCTCACACCACCAGGTGTGCCCAACTCGATGAACACTGCTACTGGCGGTACTGCTCCCACGTCGACTGCCGACGCCCTTACGCAGCGCGAGCTGCTGGCAACATCAGGTGTATGGACACCACCTCGGGGCGGCATGAAGAGGAGTTTGATTGCGCAGGTGACCAAGATGGTAGTAGAGAACGGCGGGGTTGCTGAAGAGGTCATTGGCGCATTGGCAGCCATTGAAGTTGGCTGAAGAGAGTAGAGTGAACGCTGCGCACAACAACGCCCCACCAACACGTTGGATGGGGATGATCTCTCAACGACTTCATACCAGCAACAAGACCATGCATCTGGAAACCAGACTAGGCATGAACACAGCAAGACGTTCCAAAAGTCCGACATCAAATTAGTTTCAAGTTAGGCGGGCTTTTTGCGCCACTTAACAATTGCTCGACCAAGTCAAGCCATCCTTGTTGCCAGCACAAGGCATTCGCTATGGCCTTAGTCTCGAGCTGCTATAGTCAGACACGTGTAAATCAGTAGAACCATAGCATATCACCCCGACGGAATTAATCTTGTAACATACACAAAGACGGAACGTTGGTGTGTTTTCAATGGACAGCATCGGCAAAACAAGTGGCACGTTACCCTGGTAGCGTAGCAGAAGAACAAAGCGTCAACCTCACTTTGTGTCATGCATCACAGAAAACTAAGCAAACATGCTGGTCTCCAAAGTGATCCGACTTTGCTTTTCCGGCATCCCCATGCAGTCCGCAGCGCATCAGCCCCTTTGGGCTAGTGTAAATGCCATGTCAGCTGCATCCACGTCAATGATTGTTTTCTGAAAGCTTCCATATACACTACACCGACTTCGATACAATAAACACCCTCTTTTTGGTACGCGCCGACTACCCGTAGACGCAGAAACATCCCGTTCCTTATACGCAAACAAAGCTCGTCGCACAAACCGGCACATTCCTACCAGCATCCCGAGAGCGGTAGCAGTGACGACATTTTGTGGCTTGGCTGCCTTGTAAGACTAGCCCTTTGAAAGACGCAACATCCCGAAGCACCATTTGAACCCGAAAACCTTGGACGGGCCAAAGCAAGCGCCAACCAAGCAATCATGATGGACCTACAGCACCAATCCCACCTTTCAGCCTTCAGTCGCTTCTCCGATATGCTCAAAGACACGACTACAGGCCGGCGTAAGCCGAATGCCTCGGGGCATTCTGTTCGCAACCCCTCCATGACTGGCCTGCCCTCAGACCCCATAGCAATGTTCACGCGATCTCGCGGCGATTCTGATCCTTCGCGAGATACCCGCAGAAGCAGCGTGGGCAACTACGCCGATCGCATGCGCCAACTCTTCCACCCATCCTCCTCGCACCACACGCACCCCCACAAGCGCGGTATCAGCGACCTTCCCGCCGAAGTCTTGCAGCACATCTTCTTCTACCTCGAGTTCTGGGAGCTCGTCCGGTGCCAGCGTGTCTCCAAGTCATGGCGTGCCCTGGTTCCAGGCGACTCACCTCTGCTTGCCGAAATGCTCTACCTAAAGCCCTCGCGCAGCCTGCAAATCTACAACCTCCTCCCCACGACGTTTGAATTCGAAGTCCACGTCACGCCACATAGCATCGAGTCAGGAGCCCAGCCTCTTGGCACCCGCATCTCAAAAGGCGTCCGCAACGAGATCTCCCTCTCTCGACGCTGTATAGGTCTCATCCGGACGAGTCAGGAAATTGTGTTTCACCCCCTGATCATGGACTTTAACCATTGGGTTACGCGCGAGGGTGTTGCCGGCAATACGGACGGGTCTTGGAGGGATATGCTAGTTTCCATGCCCCCGTTGACGGAGCTGACACTGCGCGATGGTGGCCAAAAGAGGGGTGCTGTCAAGGTGCTTAATGTCAAGGGTCATGACGACGGGGTTAAGCTGGGTCAGCTGTTTGATGTTGTACACGACTGGATGCACAGGAGGATATGAGGAATGCATGAGGCGTTTGGGTTATTATTATCATGATTCATTTGGGCGCATTTTTGGAAAGGACACCGGTTGTCCTGGCTTATCTTCTTCGTCTCACTTCATTTTTAGTAATCAAACTGTAAATGATAGAATTAGCGTACGAGTGGGAAACTCGACATGGGGCGTCTGGATAATAGGTATGTATATACATGAACATAGATAAGGTATATAGTGCGGTACGTAGATAATACAAATAAACAAACTTTGTACAATTGAGTAGCTGCGAGAAATGACTGGAGCGCAAACTCCATCATCCACACACACGAATTGCAACGCTGAAAATATGTCCATGCTACTACTATTCTACTAGGGTATCTACGCTTCTTGATGCTGCGAAACCAACGCTGTGCATACAAATCAAACAAAAGAAGTTAAACCTTTAATCGCTGCACCAATTCCCTAATCTCCTCCTTAACCTCATCACAGCTCAAACGCTGTTCTTCATCCCCGTGCATCATACCACTAATCAAAGTCTGAACATCTCCACCAACATCCCCGTGATTCTGCACAAAATCTCCTGGAAAAAGACCTCTGCGGAGCTCTGACAGAGCAGCTATACGCTCCATCCTCGTGCTAAACTTGTGCAGCATCTCAAACGCCACGACACCCAGCGCGAAAACATCGAGTTTCTCGTTGACACCGCTACTCGCTGATGGACGATAGAATTCGGTGCCTACTGGCTTGGAACATGTATCGGAAACTGTACAACTCCCGCTCAACGCGGCTACGAGGCCAAAGTCACCGATTCGGGGTGTCATATGCAGGTGATTGCGCTGGGGACACGATTTGCAGCTTGACATGTCAATGGAACCGTATGGTGGGTGACGCGCAGTGGAAAGCGAGAGGAAGACGTTGGCGGGTTTTAGGTCGCGGTGGACGACGCCCTGAGCGTGTAGGTATTCTACTCCTGCCACGATGTTGTTGAGTAGCTCGAGGGATACGCAGGAGTGGAAGCAATGTTGGCCGGTTTTCTGCCCAATGGATCCGGACTGTTCGGATGAGAGGAACGAAGCCAGGTTGGTTTCGCAGAGGCTCATTTGCACGTTGAGCATGAGGACTGGTCCAAGAGTTCGGTTCTGCATAAGGTGGTGGGGCACGTCGCTGTTCGAGATCATGCTGTCTGACATTTCAGAGATTGTTTCGTGAGAGCACGGCATGTGCGATCTGGGAATGTTCTCAATATCATCATCTTCCTCTTCGTCTGCATCCTCAACAGCGCTCATTCGGGACTTGGTTGATGAGATTGTTGCTATTGTCATCTGACTCGCCTGGCTGCCACGTCGGGTTTTGCGTTTGGTCCGTGTAAAGGTTTCCTTAATAGAGACATTGGCACCTTCACTCTGAGGCTCAGTTGTTCCTTCTCTGGGCTCGCTAAACTCAAAGACAATACCAGCGCTATTGCTGTTCTCGGTTCTAATGGGGGAGTCATCGAAGCTTAGGCTATCCAGTCTAGAATGAATGTCGTTGGTTCCTCCAGAGAAGGATGGAAAGGCAGCTCGGTCCTCTAAAAGACGGTCGTCTCGAAGCATCGGGATATCTGGGACGCCGGTGGTTTCAGTGGATGATGTAGTAAACTCGAGCCAGGCGTTGTGGTACCGAATGATGTTGTTGTGATCAAATCGAGCAAGCGAGCGAACTTCTTCAAGCATGCTTTCCAACTCTTCTGGCCCATGTTCTTGTATTCTTGCAACCTTGGCAGGGCTCACTGGAATCCTCTTGACCGCATAGAGTGACCCATCAAGTTTATGTTTGGCTTTGAAAACCTTGCCATATCCTCCTTTACCAACAATCTCCAATTCTGAAAACTCCCGAATATATCGATCAGTCTGCAGATGAGGATAACCCCGAAGTTGAAGTTGAACTGGACCTGAGATTCCAGAGAGGACATCGAAGCCTAGGGATGGTTGTTGAGGTAGATGCTGAGGCAGCCCATTACCTGGTAGTGCAACCAGAGCTTGTGAAGCTATTTCGGGAATGACAGAGAGCTTGTTTAGATTGCTCCGGGTAAGCCGATTGATTCCTTCGTTTGCCGTACTCCGATGACTTTGCATTTCATCGCTTGCGTAAGCATCGTCGACGTTGTTGGAAATTTGACGGGCAATTTCTTTGTAGGAGGCTCTACCCAATCGCTGGACTTCAGGGTCCGACGGGTCTTTGCCTAGCTGGGCTGCAACCTCGCGAATGGTTCGTTCCTCCAACAACGAATGTAACAAAAGATCGCGAACGTTCTGGGTTGAGCTTTGCCGTGGATCTAGAGGAGGTCGATGGGGCTGGATAGGTTGTCCTGAGGAAGTGGAATCTAGAGTGTTGACCCTTGACAGGACGCTGTCTTGTTTCAGCTGACTCTCTTCTTCATATTCGCTTTCTTCATCAGACGACTCCGAGCTGGACGATGAGTCGCCTGGCCTTCGGAACATGGACATGGCAGATGGAAACGGCAGTAGTTTGGAATCAACAACGGTAGTGCAGCCTAGATGCTGCTGAGCAGGGGCCTAGGCGCTGATAACTAGCTTTGAATCATTCAACGATTCCTAGACGAAAGGGGGTAAATGCAATCGTGAGGTAGTCACGCTCGCAGCTATGCGTTGTGCTGTGAAGCTGTAGCGTCGAGCTTATACCAACTCGGTGCCAGCAGCTGAGCACGCAGAACCTCCATGAGTACACGCTGTCTAGGCAAACATCGATTGTCGTAGAACTGGGTGGAAGTGCAACGTGTTAATTTGAGGGCGCAGAGCACAGTACAAGAAGTGCCAGCAGCTAGATTGGAAGGGCGCACAGGCGAGAGTGGGTCTAGCGGAAATCGGAAACGCGTCATAGCACGTGGCCAGGCGGGAGCAAGCCATTCACCTTCGCTCGCATGCGCGCAAAGGGCTTGAAGCACTTACAGAGCGAAGAACTTCCCCAACGGTATTGGTCCGGTACTGCTTTTTGAGTAGATACTCTCACAATGTCGCGTTCAACTACACCGATCAACATCAACCCCCATCTTTTGCCAATATCCAGCTGATCCGCCGCCTACTATACAAGCAATATGCCGCGTCGACTTCCATGGGCGAAGAAAGACGCAACAGGAGCAAAGGCAACAATCCCACATGCAGATCTTGTATCGTGCGTATCTGATGATGACGATGACTTCTTGGAAGATGTGATAGCGGCCAGCAGTAGCAAAGGAAATCGACAAGCCAGCGAGTCAGATGATGATCTCCCCAATCTGCCAGCAGAACCATCAACACCAGGCACCAAATCGAGAACAAAAGATGCATGGAGAAAACGACGTGAAGTTTCGTCATCACCTCCACCTCTGGTGGGAGATCTCGAGCAACCACGTGTTGAACATATGCACGGCGCTATCTCCAAATTCGACCTACGCGATGATGAATGGATGATGGTTGAAGACGAATTTCTCGAGACTGCAAAGCTATTCACTCGACACTTGCACATTGCAGAATACGAGAAACTCAAGGAGATGATTGAGGAAAAGAAGAAAAGTGCTGATGTACCAAGACCGGTAGTACCCAACGCGAAGATGTCTGACATTGGGGTCATGAAAGATAGAGCCAAAGTTCAAGAACAGAAGCAAAAGAGAGCTCTTCAAGACGTTTTTGCGTCTCAAGGCGACGATGAGGTGCAAGAGCAAAGGTCTTCGCTTTTAACCCATGCATTGCACAATCCAACTACACCGTCATATGCCGTCTCCAAAAGAGCTCTAGGAAGCATAGCGAAGCAGCAATCAACGGTACGCGCAACATCAGATAGCGATAGCGAAGATCTTGATACCCTACGACCCCCAGCAAAGCCACCCCTCAAAGCCATCACATCGGCCCCATCGAAAATCAGCAGCACCCTAAGTAGACCGACCGGTGCCTCGTGTCCCAGCCTCACTACCAAACCCTCATCCCTTACCTTCGCTAAGCCTGCACCGCCTCCTACCTTCACTAAACCCGCACCGCCTCCAACCTCAGCAAAACCACGCTCAAGAACCAGCCTCGCAAAGCCCTTCGATATGCTCGACGACTGGATACCAGGCAAATCGCAACCCCCACCAAAAACTTCACTAGAGCGACCTTCCATCCAACCAATTACATCTTCTACACCGGTTACCAGCAAGCCATCTCGCTCCTTTGATTCTGCTGAACCCGTAAAACCCAGCGTGCATGCACGGTCAGCAAGTTCATCGGTAGAAACGGGGGCGCAGCAAGTAAGCTCCGAGGGCAGTGCTAGGGGCAAAGATGTTGCAGAGAGTCTGGTGAAGCGCAAGGCTGAGCGGGAGAAGAAGGAGGGTGAGAAGAAGAAGAGGAGGATGGTGGATGTGGATGATATACCCACGTTTTTGTTTTGAGGGCTTGGCCAAGATTACGGTTTGTTAGCGATATGGGCGTTCTTTCTGCCGGAAGAGTATTAGTTTTCCAGGGCTTGGGAAGTTGTGTTAGAGTGCATTAACGAAATGGCAAAATTATAGTTGTAAATCGTTATTCAGACATTTCTTCCCTCGTTTCCTTGTATACTGAGACTAAATGTAGATACTTTAGTATAGCCAGATTCTAAATCATCATCTACATTTAAGCACAGTGTCTATTCAAAAGAGTGGCCAAAGGTTTTCCAAACACACGGCTAACCTTTCCTCCAGCCAAACCCTCCACACACACACACACACACACACACACACACACACACACACACACATACACACACCCGTTTACCCAAAAATCCTGTCTAAAAAGCGATTGAACGGGTTTGGCTCGGGCTTTTCAATAAAATCACGATGATACTCCTCAATCTCCGCCAGCCCAGAGAAAAGATCCGCCTTGTCGGACGTAACCCACTTTGTCTTCTTCAGAATCTTCCATCCGATGACGAGAACAGGGAAAATAAAGACCCTACAAACGTGTTAGAACTAGCCGATTTCCCCAAACCCAAAGGAATGAGATGTTTGATGTTAGAGGAGAAGAAAGAAAACTTACATCAGATACGAAAACAAGAACGAAGGCACATCCCACATGCCCTTCAAAAACACTGTATAACCCCCCACAAACGTCATGATAAACGTGCACACAAGTCCATACCACGCCGCATACGGCTGCAGAATACCCTTGTAGGGCAGCGTATCGCGATCGAGCCCTTGCACGTGGCACGCCTTGTAGAAGCGCAGGAAAGTAAAGCACATGACACTGAAATTGATGAGCTGGGATGCCGTCACCAAGCTAACGAACCAGTTCAGGACAACGGCCGAGTTCTCGCTCAGCTGCAAGAACGAAAGTAGCGAGATGAGCAAGACGACGAAGACGCAGTAGAAGGGCACACCTTGCTTTGTGCATTTAGTCAGGATCTTGGGTGCTTTGCCCTCGAGCGCGAGACCAAAGAGCGAACGCGAAGCGCAGTAGACATAGGAATTTCCTGCGGAAAAGGCGGAGGCGAGGACACCGGCGTTGACAACGTGGGGGAGACCTTCGATGCGGAGTCTGTTCATGGCAATCACGTAGGGCGAGGCTGCGGCACCAGGTTTGCCTAGCTTGAAGGCGTTGATGAGTTCTGGGTCGTTGTACGGCACGTTTATTCCTACAGCGAGGGACCCGAGCACGAAGAAGGTAGTGAGACGGTAGAAGACGGCATTGTAGGCGCGCGGCATGACTTTTCGGGGGTTTTCGGTTTCGCCGGCGGCCATGGAGACGTAGTCGGGCCCTGCGATGGTGAAGGAGGCTTGGATTAGGCATTGGAGGAATCCTAGGAATCTGCCTAGTTCGCCGTCGTAGTAGAGCTCTGTGAAACTTCCTGGGTTCTTCCAGTAGCGGAAGCCGTAGCGGTCTTTTTGAGGGTTGCCGCCTAACATGGAGATGAAGGTAAATATGAGGAGGCCGATGATGAGCAGGACTTTGGGGGGTTAGCAACTTATTTGGAGGTTTTGTTTAGAAATTCTTGCCTTTTCCAACTGCAGCGTAGAACTCGGTTTCCCCGTACCATTTTACAGCCATCATGTTGATGACACTAGTGCTTGGTTAGCCCTGGTTCTCTAACAAATTTCATGGGGTATTCTAGAGCGGATGGGTTTGTTTGATGTGACTTGAGACCTAGCGTATAGCCTGGGCATCATTGACCAAAAAACAATGCAATATGTATGGTCTGCGGTTCACGGTCTAATACAAAAAGCTCCTTGATGTCCCATTTCAAATATTGGGTGGTACATGGGTCTACGTACGCATAGAGCACAAGAACGATTGCGATAATGGCACCAGTAGGTACGGCGTCGCTCCAAAAGCCGATAATGACGTTACAAGCCACAATTTCAAAGGGTACCAGGGCTGCTTCGAAGACGAAGAAATTCCATCCAGCTGCGAAGCCGAAGGCGTCGTCTACGTAGCGTCCAGCGAAGCGAATAAATGGCGAAGATATTGGGAGGTAAGTAACCATTTCGGCAATGCCTATTGAGGCGCATTAGCTGGGGGCTCTTCACGACGGTACAAGCGATGGGATAAGTGGCTCTGGGCGGGTCGAAAAGCGCTTGGGCATTGTCGCAATGGGCACAGGTTATTTGGGATCAAGGGATTGAGAGTCTCACTAAGCGTCACAGCCAAAATGACGGTACACCTGTTCAAAGTCAGCTCTGGATCCGTTTGTAGCTTGAAGTGTGCCGTTGGTTATCTGCGTGAGGAATCTTGCGCGAAACTCACCACAACGAAAATGCGATGAACAAGGACGCAGGCCCTCCATTCATGAGGCCTCGACCAATTTGGACATAGAGGGCAGTGCCAATGGTTCCACCGATGCCTATGAGTTGAATGTGTCTGCTTTTGAGCTTGCGGTGGGTGTTGTCGCTAACAGCTCTTACTGATCCCACGCTGCCAGGTCGAGGATCGTAGTTGTTGTTCTCTTCATCGACGTGGTAGCCCTGCTTCTTCGGCTCGTACGAAGTGTCAGGCTCAAAGTCCCTACCGGTAGAAGTCATATCTACTAGAAGCCGAGGACTTAACCTCGGGCTCTCAGAGTATAGTTTTGAGGAGTAGGGCAAAAAATTGCACGACAAAGGCCATGGACCGTTAGTCGGGGTAGGTGTTGGTTGGTGGACGAACTGCTGGGCTATCGGCAGTCAAAAGACGATGAACGGGAAGCGAACGATACGAGTACATGTGCCGTGCTAATAAATCTTTCAGCAACCCTAGCGCGAGCAGGCAACCCTGCATGTGTTCCACCGCGGTGAAGGCAATAGATTGCACTAGTAATTCTTGGCTCTCCTGGGCGTTTACCAGTACGTATACGTCCGTCTTCGAGTTTGGGGGCAGCAAAAGAACGAATCACCATTGAGCTGTGGTGGTGGTGGCTGCCGCAGCAAGGCTGCCACAGGCTTTTTTCCCCAACTCACACAGCCCTCTGCCAGACGCACAAAGGCTCAGCTGTGGATGGGGTCATGCATCCCGTGTCTGGTGTCGTGTGCCCTGTTTGTGGGTGGAGAAGATGCGATAACTGGTGTTTGTAGGCAGGGGTCTAGGTATGGAACCCACTGTACTTACCTAGTCGGAAAATGCGGAGAAGCACCGGCGCGCAGATGGATGAGCTCTCGACATGGCTTTTCCCTTGGGCGGTATGGCGCAATGTCACCTTCTTGCCGTCTGTTGTTTCCTATCGGTCTCCCCGATGTATTTGCGCTAGCCTCTAGAACCACAACTACTCTGCCCCTCATGTGTATCTTGGCTGGTAAAGCTTCTCCAATGGCTGTCCAAGCATTTCAATCCTAATGGCTAAAGCCAACTTGGCACCACTGGGGTGAGCAGTTAGATTCTAGGCTTGCTTCCGATCTTAGTTTTTCTCCGCCGTCCATCCAAGGCTTATCTACACCTTGCGTTCACGCCTGAACCCGGGTTGAGGCCATTCTTGAACCCTGCACTCGGCATACTGGACTGCTTTACCGAAGCATACGAAGAATGGTATCATGAGAACGGGTCTGCCGTCAGACAAAAGAGCGCTGCGAGATAACGCTCTGGTGTAAGCTTGTCAGCCCCGAGACGTACTGAGAGCTCTTTTGTGCCCCCACAAACTGACATCGGATTGTCACCGGTTGGCCGATGCAGGTGTTTGAACAAATAACGCACCCCACGTTTTTGCTTAGACTTGGCGCAGATTTCCTGTTCATGCACACCCAAGACCATAGCTCCGGCGAGCACTACTTAAACCGCGATAATTGCCATGCATTTCCTTTCGTCACTTGGAGACGCTGCACAAAACTTCCACATCTCAATCAGTCCAAACGAGGAACGAGCCATTTGCAACATGCACATGTCTTCAAAATTCGCCTGGGATGAGTACCAAGCTAAATACTATAAGTATAAATAGAAATTACTGCGTCTTAATTGACAGAATTACAGCCGCCTGCACTGCGCCTCGCAGCTCAACTCTACTTTTCATCTGCCAACTGCCAGCTATAGCGAATCTCTACCAACAAGCCTTCGCTTGACTGACGGGCTGTTGGGTATTTCAGGCAAGTCGGCTGTGATGTTCTTCATCATCATAAAATCGTCTTCGCTCGCACCGTCCACCTGCCGCTGTAGTTTATCAATGGTTGTCAGCTCTCCCAGCCAGCGCTTCCCGGTCTTGTGGTCGAAGTGAACTGGCTGTACTATTCCGTCATAGTCCGACATATCTTCCAGTGTTGGTGGGTATATGATGGTGGTTTCTCTGCGCTCAAAACCTTCGTCCGTCATGTATGGTTTTCCCTCGATGATTTGCGGCTCGGTGCGCCATTGGAATGGAGCTTTTGTAAGCACAGGTTCCTTTTGCACAATGTCCCACCACCTGTTTTTGCCTGTGCGAGACGGTAGCTCATCAGCAGAAATCTCGATCAGGCCCTCTCCATCGGGATTGGGGATAAAGTGGCGAGGTGGGAGAACTTCGGTCTGCATCACAGGCTGTAGTCGGTGATAGTAGGTATAGTTATGAATCTCTCGATAGATTTTGTGCTGGACAATTTCGTGCTCGTGTCGCTTGATGACCTCGTGTGTGACCGCTGTTATAACTCTTGTCAGACGACCTTGCATATATCATGTTTAGGAGCTTTGCCCAACGGCAAGACAAGCTTGACTTACCAGGTGCCCACGATGTCTCTCTGTCTGTTTCAACCGTGTCATTCAAATTGACGATGCCATTGAGCATCGATTTCTGCTTGACCTGCCACTCCTCATCACTGCCGTACACACTGTGCCTATCGCTCGTAGAGTCGAAACCCGCAGGCTTGACAGCCATATCCTGGTGGACGTGGTGTTCTCTCTCCAAGCTCTGCGATGACCTTGCAAGGTCTTTTGGATCGTGCGATTGCGCTTCCTCTACAATGCCGCCATTAGTGGTGACGGCCCTGCCGACCAGTTTGTCTCGAGCATCGCCGTGGTTGTAGCTCGTGGAATCTGCAAATAAGTTATTTCTCTTATCTGTGATAGCACTTCTGCGGCATTGAACATACTTGGTATTGCAGGGAGGGGCTTTGACAGATCACTATGAGACGGTGCTGAGTGACCGATATTGGTACCTGCCACTATTGACTGTTTGCTGGGAGCAGGCGCAGGAGGAACAGGTGTGTTTCCATCAGAGGCAGAATTGACGAATTTGCTGTGGTCAGACTGGGTATTATGTACAGATTCAAGCGGCAGGGCAGCTGAGTGAGTGGCTATGCCGTTTGTGTGAGTGGTCTTCGGTTGTTGAGCATATTCTGTTCGAAGAGAGGCGCTCTGAGAAGCTGAAGATTTCGGTCGATGGCGTTGACTGGGAGAGCTAGGAAGCTGTTCAGCGCGTGGGATAACCCCTTCAGACTGCTCATATGAAGCACGGGGCGATTGTGCTGGCGTTGACCCCTTCCTTCTGTGAAGTACAGCCTTGATCTTTTCCTTCATGTTGACTGCAAGTTGAAGTGGAAGCGATATGTGTAGTTGGTTAGATGGACTGTACATGTGCTGGCAGATTCTAGGCCTTCTATGACTATTTCTTCATGGGTGCTGTGGCTGGAATGTGGCTGAATGACGTATCTATAACGCCTTCATAAGGTTCAAAGAGCTGCATAATTCAGGACACAGCAGCGTCTTAGAAGGCCGCTCTATACATCTACAGCAAAGATAACAATAATCAGAAAGCACACGACAGGCAAAGGATTTGCTGGCTGGAATGCGAAATGTCACTCACCCACCCCCTTTATTGCAATATGCCATGTCGAGCCAGATTTGCATCTTCGATGGGGCTCACACTGTCCTCGCCGATTCAACAACATGGGAAATGGTATAGAGTGGCGTCTACAAATGACGTAGGTATCCTCTTTTGTAGAGGTACGTGTCTCTATTCTACAAGTGATGGGTACTTCAGCGGTGTAGATAGACAGATGGATCCATACGCGGTGCTTGCACAGACTCAAAGGATGTGACTATAATTGCAGAATGGGCATGTCATGGTGGAGATCATGGCGGCATGACGACAACGACGGGAAGTGTGGTTGTGGGCGGCTCTCTCCCCCAGCTGCAGTTGATCAACACGGCACAGAGGGCGATCACTTTAGCTATGGCCTTCGTAGTTGGAGCCATGCCCCCGGGACTTCCGAAACAGGCGCAGAGACAGCCGTATGTGTACAAGGACAGGCTGTGTTATGCGAGTAGCTCAACAAAGAAATGGCATCATGACGCAGTTTGCAATAGGCGAAGGCGGAGGCGCGCATGCTTGAATACGTCTTGGGGAGTTGTCGCTTGGATGTTGCACGAATCCCCTGCTCGACAAGGGGCGGCGGGTCACCCTAGCGTCGATCGATCAGATCGCACGCTTGCTGCATTCATCCAACCATGTATGTAATAATTCATCTGCTGCTTGCACACGCACCACCGCGACCAGAGACAACAGTGAGTGCGATGCGAGCAACTTGAACCTGAGACCAAATTCCTGTTTGTATGCAGCGGAGATACGCAGTATGACTACATCGTACCGCGTAGCTCTTCGGTAGGCGTACAACGAACAGCCCCAAGCGTCTCTTAGTGTGCCAGACGCCGCGGAGAGCGAACGCCATCAGCTGCTGGTAGCGTCCGCCGTGCATGGCCCAATTGGCGGCGCTGGAGTCATGGATGGGAGGAACCAGACCATTGCCATCATCCCACTATTGCTGTCCTATGATGTGCCCTGCCTATTCTGTGGCACACATGGCGGGGGCTGTTGCTTCCCGATTGACCAGACTCTGAGATGTCAATTACGTCGTTGTGCGTTCTCCCTCCTGGCTCCCTCCATGTATAAAAACACCCGGTGTCAACTTTAGGGAGCGTCATTACAACAACACACCACACTCCAACAAATCAATCCACTCTTCTACACACCAATTTCACCCCCTCTACCACAAACAACCACACCACTACAACTTCAAAATGGACAAAGCAAAGGCAGCCATCACCGAGTTCATGGGCAGGTCCGGCCACCACGACACCACTGTCCACGAGGCAGTTGCCCCCGCTGTACACCACGAGGTTGTCAAGCCCCATGTACACGAGGAGATCAACACTGCCATTGACAAGGAGGTCCACCAAGATCACTACCACCGCACTGTTCAGCCCATCCAAGACCGCGAGGTCCTCCCCGAGACACACGCTGCCAAGCTTGGAGCAGTCCAGCACCGCGAGTTTGACCACCGTGACACTGATGCTACCAAGAGGACCCTCGTCCAAGATCAGGCTCGCTTTGCCGACGAGAGGCGCGTTGAAGACACCACCCACAGCCAAAGCGTTGCTCCCACCGTTGGCGGAGAGCACGTCCACCACGTAAGTACAGCAAGAACACTTTCTTTCTGCCTAAAAAGCTAACACATCCAAGCACATCCACGAGACTATCCAGCCCGTAGTCCAGAAGGAGACCATCCAGCCCAGCGTTGTTCACACCACTGTTCCTATTCACGAGGTACACCACAACAAGGCCACTCACCATGAGACTACCGCTCTGCCCGCCATGACCATGGAGCAGTTCAAGGCCAAAGGTGGATCCCTGACTGGTCGTGAGGAGCGCTATGACGAGTTTGAGGGTGTCCCCAAGAACATTGGTGGCGTCAGCACTCTCGCTGGTGCTGAGGGCCTTCACCACAAGACCACTCACGACCACTCTTCCGCCCGTCACGGCGATCTTCACACCAAGAACCCATTGGACCGCAACAACGATGGTAGAGTTGACGCCCACGACCTGACCAAGGGAGGCTCTCACAGCTCCCACAACAGCAGCACCGTCGGCACTGGCGCCTACGGAACCACCCATGGAACCACCCACAACCCCTTGGACCGTAACAACGATGGCAAGGTCGATCCCCACGATCTGACCAAGAGCGGCTCTCACCACAACACCGGCACCGTCGGCACTGGTGCCTACGGAACCACCCATGGAACCACCCACAACCCCTTGGACCGCAACAACGACGGCAGGGTCGATACTCATGATGTATCGAGCAACCGCTCTCACGACTTGGATGACAACTCCCGCAACAGTATGTCTAGTGTTCAACTCGTATGCAAAGATTCTACTAACTCTGAACCAGAGCATGTGGGCGCTACAGGTACGCTGGATTCCGCTGGAGTGGCGCATGGTGTGAGCGATAGAGAACATCTGGCGCATCGTGCCAACGAGGACAGTGGGCTGCCCAGAGCTCTCACCGAAGATGTGTCCAAAGCTCGTCCTCACACCCAAGCCGAAGAACAAGTAAGACTTTTGCAAGAATCGAAAGGCCAACATTTCACAGATAAACACAAGCCCAGCCTAATGGACAAGCTCAACCCTAGTAAGTGCCAACTACGCTTGTATTAGCCGATAGCTGCTAACTCCATCCACAGAGGTCGACGCTGATGGCGACGGCAAGGCTGGCATTATGTCGTAGTGCAGAGCACTATGACTTGACGCGATCAGTATGCATGAAAGTGAAATACCAAGGAGACTTTCCTATGACATTGTAATAATAGTAGTTTAGTAATGAACCACATCTACAGAAATGATCATCTCTTGAGTTTTGCATCCTTTTTGTTCGAATTCTCAATACATCCATAGCACACGGTTCTGCAGGTGGATTACAGTGCTGTGCCATCAAACCAATCTTTCGGCTATAGGCACCCACTGATCTATGGGCTTGTCAGTTGGCACTAGCACCACTCTCCCACCTACCCAGCCACTCATCTGGGAGCTTCCTCCAAGTTCGATCTCGAGCATGTCCACGGATGACAATCCCTTTGCGTCTACTGCAGGACAGTCGTGGCTGCAATACTCAGCACATGCGTACTTTACTCGTCATATTTACACTTACTACATCAAGCTCAGATGTGGCATGTAGCTTTCATTCGCCCATTTTCCCGCTTTCTTCTCATCCGAGAACCCCTCGACATGTCGTCTGCACTGCTCAGCCAGCTTTTTCAACCCGTCGTCGACTTGACATTTAATGTACAACTTGCGAAAAAAGTAGTCTTCGCTGTCCAGACATTTGAAATTGACTCGCACATCACCCTTACCCACGCCTAAATCGAGAGAATCCAACCACGCCTGCCCATCTGACCCGTGTATTGATGGCGGAATCTCAGAGGTAAGAGTGACGTGGGGGAGGAACCGATGCGGGGAACCAAACTGCTTTGCTGTCTTGTCGATCAATGCGGGCAGCACTTTACCAAGCGGATGGTCTGATGGCGGCAATAGCCAGAGTGAGGATCCCGGCATGTTTTCAAAGCAAAAATGGTACGGTATTGGCGTTGCAATGTTGGCAACGGTGGTGTTGTTAAGCTTCAGCACATGCTCCGGATTGAGAGGTGTGGCGTCGTTAGCTGGTGACGCGTCGGCCCGTGACTCCTGCCGGATGGATACTTACGGTTGAGCTGCCGGTACCTGTCGGACGTGGTTTGCATGTGAAAGTCCGCATCCACCCCCACAAGCGTTCCCACTCACTCGACCTGCAACTCGTTCCAATAGACGCAACGAATGAACATGTGCCCTTGTCACATTACGGCCTTGTCAGCCGATCACTTTCTGAAGTAACCCAAAACGCCATGGGCGGTGCGCTGAGCGTCGCGTCTGGGGCGCTATGGAGCTTCTTGCTGTGCTTGTTCGACGTAGCTTTCTTTTGGCAGAGGGTACGTCTTCCCCACCGTGTCCGCCGTCTCAGCTGCCTGGTCATCTGAAGCGCTTTCGGGCGTAGTGCTGATATGTTGAAGAAACTCTACACGTGGTTCACACAGAAGAGCCAGAGAAATCTGCTGCTGGAGGCCATTGATAATGCGAAGTTGTTTGAGGAATGGGAGGCCGCTGCGTACAAGCTTGATGAGGTCCTCGACTATGACCTGTGGTGAGTCCGCTGTCTTGTCCGCAACCGAAAACACGCTTGTGCATTTGACTGACCGTGCCATTTACAGGCGACAGGTCGCAAAGAGCAAACACTACGACCATCGCCTCATCAACCAGCGTCTCTCTGCCCTCTACGAAGCCCAAGAAGACGACGATATTCTCGGCGTCATCAACCTTCTCCGCAGCGGTCTTGTGCGAAACCTCGGAAATATAACTGCCTCGCGACTCTACAACCGTGCCTATGCCGGGACGAAACTCTTGATTGAAGACTACGTCACGCAGGTTGCTTACGCAATCGAAAATCTTACACAATATCCTACGTCAAGAAACTCGGACACAGGGTTGACGAACCAGGCCAAGCTGGATGTTCTCCACGATACGAGACAGGCCTTTGGGAGATCGGTCCTGGTGCTTCAAGGCGGGCAAGTATTTGGCCTATGCCACCTGGGTGTTGTCAAGGCATTGCATCTGCGCGGTTTACTTCCCCGAATCATTGCTGGGACTGCTACTGGGGCTCTCATAGCGGCATTGGTGGGTGTGCATACCGAAGATGAATTACTCGAGTTCCTGACGGGGAGAAACATTGATTTGACAGCCTTTTCGAACCGGCCATATAGGAATGGCGCTCAAGTCACCACGCGGCTCCAGACCATGATACGCCGTGTCAAGAGATGGTGGAATCAAGGCCATTTTCTCGACGTTGACGTACTCGAACAACTCCTGAGGGCTAATGTCGGGGACCTGACTTTTGAGGAAGCATACGCAAAGACGAAGAGGGTGTTGAACATCACAGTCACGACTAGTAGTGGTGGAAGCGTGCCAAATCTGCTCAACTACCTGACTGCCCCCAACGTTGTACGTCTACCCATGCCTATTTGCTGGAACAACTACTAACAGCTGCAGCTCATCTGGTCCGCAGCTCTCGCCTCCAACGCGACGGCCTCGTCGGCACTCTACCATTCGGTCACGATGATGTGCAAAGACGAAGAAGGCAACATTGTTCCTTGGACTCCAGCATCCAATACCACGTTCCGTCCCTATACGCACGCGTCTTACCGTGACCGCGAGTCACCTCTACATCGTATCGGCGAGCTCTTCAACGTGAATCACTTCATCGTCTCTCAGGCACGGCCTTATCTTGCGCCCTTTTTACGTTCTGATCTGCACCATCCCAACCCCAAACAGGACGGCAGATTGCGACTTAGTATGCCGATTCTTCGTCTTGTGGTCCTGGAAGTACAGCACAGGTTGCAACAGCTGGATGAGCTTGGCTTACTTCCTCTGTCAATCCGGCGATTCCTGCTCGATGAAAACATTCCTGGCCCTAGTCTCACGCTAGTACCTGAATTCACTCCCAGTGATTTCTTCAAGTTGCTGGAGAACCCGACAAGGGAAGCGATGGATTACTGGATATTAAAGGGTGAGAGAAGTGTATGGCCAGCAGTCACAGCATTGAAGATTAGGTGTGCTATTGAAGTAGAACTTGATCGAGGTTACCAGCTCGTCAGGCGTAGGAAGCCTTTTGACCTTGCGACTTCTGGGGGTATAGCAGGAGGGGATAACGGCGGACCGTTGAGGAAGAATGGAAGCAGGGGTGAGGTGCAGTCCATACATGGATGGGACGGCGATGCTAGGAGCGCTGCGCTGAGACAAAGGCCGACAAGAGCGGCCAGCTTTGCAGGTGGTATCCCCTAAATATTTACTTTGTTCTAAAAACACTTCATTCTGCGCGTACTGCGATTAATCGTTCAGGTATAGCCATTTGGGGGGAACCCTCCAATCCTCCAGCCATGAGCGCATGGAGGTTGTTCATCGTATTCCACATCTATTCCATAGTTAAATCGAAAATTTGAGATTGATTCATGAATTACATGAATGAATAGCGTTACTGTGCGTAATGTCATTCTCCCGCTGTGAGGATTACTTCCCCACACATCGAAAGCCTAGCAGCACGTCATTCACGCTAGAGGGATCCAATGTTTCTACTGGGACCAAAGATATTCGTTGACAAAATCTGATCAGCCGTGTACCCGTAAATTGTCACCCTAAAAACACCGGGCGCACTCATCAAGACACTTGAGCAATTGACCCAAAAAAACTCCCTACCTTTTCCTCATCGCTGCAAAATTCTGACTTTGTCGCGATAATCATCATCAACAATGGCGACGTAAGCTCCCCTCCCCCATCATACTCCTACCCCGCGCCATACAAAAAAAGTACGCGCCGAAATCGCTAACCCACTTCTGCCCTTTCCAGCAACATCACATGGCACCCTTCCCTCTCGCGCAGCGAGCGCAACAAATTCCGCAAGCAAACCGGCTTCACAATCTGGTTCACAGGCCTTTCCGCGTCCGGTAAATCCACCATCGCCACAGCGCTTGAGCAGCACCTGCTGCACCTGGGTTTCGCCGCGTACCGACTCGACGGCGACAATGTGCGATTCGGGCTGAATAAGGATCTGGGTTTCTCGGAGAAGGATCGAAATGAGAACATTAGGCGGATAGCTGAGGTATGTATTTGCGCAATCCCACTTACCCAAAACGAGTTCAGCTACTACAGAAAGGATTGAATAGACGGGAGAAGGAAGCTGACACAATATAACAGGTAGCAAAGCTCTTCGCCGACTCCTCCACAATCGCCATTACATCCTTCATTTCCCCTTACAAGGCCGATCGCGAGCAAGCTCGCGCCCTGCACGCCGCCACCTCTGACGCTTCCGAGTCGCCCCTCGCTTTCGTCGAAGTCTACGTCGACATCCCGCTTGAAGTCGCTGAAGCGCGTGACCCCAAGGGCCTGTACAAGAAGGCGCGCGAGGGCAAGATTCCAGAGTTTACGGGCGTGAGTGCGCCATACGAGGCGCCTGAAGCCCCGGAGATTCACATTAGGAGTGATAAGAAGAGTGTGGAGGAGAGCGTCGTGGAGATTGTGGAGTATTTGAAGGGAAAGGGGTTGTTGGAGGTGGCGCAGTAGGTTATGAGTTATGAAAACAAGGTCTCCCTTTTTTTTGAGGATTGGATATGGGGGTTTGGGTATAGGAGATATACATAGAGAGAGAGGGCTGAAATGATTGCAACGAAGGATGTGCGATTTCTCCTTGTACACAATTCGAAGCTGCATGCGCTCATGTCCAATCTTCTCTTTCTTTCTTTTCTCTTTCGTCGTCAAGAAAAAACTTCCGTTTACTTAACTTACCTCAACTATACTCAAACTTATACAGCCATACAACTATAGAAACGGAAAGGTACATGCGACCCTAGCATTTCAAAGCCTCATAGATCCCACTCTACAAAACCATCCCAACATTGTCCCGTTTCCGCCCTTACCCTGCTATGGCGCATCCACACAATATCCTATCACAAATCTCATTCCCCCCCCCCCTCACCTATTCTTCTTCTCCTCCTTCTCCTTCTCCTTACACAAACCCGTTCAACCCACCCACCTTACTTCACATTTCTCCGCATCTATTGTACACACTGCATCCCTTGCTTTACAAGGTTCCGTGTAGTTACCGGCCAACCCCCGTCCTTCAAACGCACAGGGACCCGGACGATTTGTTAGGGATATATATCCGCGCGTTCTCTCTTAGTTATATATGTTTACATTACTAATCGCCACGAACGGTACTTGATTTACCCCTTGGTACCCTGTTTTGTTATTGAGAGGGTTATATAGCAAGGAAGGGGAGGGTATAAAATAGGCTTGTTCTTGTCTGGTTCGCTTTTGTTTTGTTCTGTTGGTTGGTTGGTTGGTTGGTTAGTGCAAGAGTAGGGGATGGACGTTTGCGTAGTATACTCACGAGATGTTAAGGTGTGATAATTCAGTGTACTTGTGACAGGATATAGTAGCACGAGTCTTGGGATTGGCATTTTATGTATTGTAGGTAATACTTTGACATTTGTGTAAGACGAACTTGATTGCGCTCGTTTTCTTTTCTTGTGGTTGGAAAACAGCAGAAAGCAAAGACCTCTGATGAACTACTACTTCTAAACGAAACCTCAAAAAAGTGTCATGTATCATTCTGCTTCAGACAACAGTTTTTTTCTGTAGGTGTTCTTCTTTCTCGGCGCATTGCTAAATGCTGACGACTTTTTCTAGCGTTCGTCATGCCCAGTGAGGCTGGTATGGGGATGAACCTAGGAAAGAAAAAAACTGTAACAGCAAGAAAATACGAAGTCTTGTATGACACGTCGAGCCATATATGTGCGCTGATACTGTGGGAGGTTTTTCGGTGTGACATACAGTTCCATGCGCAGGAAAGAGAGACAAAAACGTCGCCAACGGCCCCTTGCATGGGTTGTAGTAGCATTATGGCAACCACCTCGGATGAGTGGACGTTCAGCTGCAATAACGAGTCGGAGTATTAAACGGCTGCTGTTCCGGTAACTTGCTTGTCGCCATGAAAAGAGCGGGGGCTGTGGCGCATCTTGATACATAGTCGAAGTAACGTCTGCTTATCACGTTTTCTGGGGGGGAAGAGGTCTGGATCGCCAGACAACAAGGGCATGATTTGCGATGCGGCGCAGTGCTCTAGCCAGTCGCGGTCGGGGAAAGGGGAATGGCGCCGGAAACCACAAGCGATTGCATGCGTAACAAGCATCTCTAACTATCGACCAAATGAAGAAAGAAAAGAGAGAAAAAAGTGGACATACCCAGTGCATAAGAGCGACATATTAAGATCGCCAAATATATTGGCTGGTGATAGTTCTGAAGACAATACAAACAACCGTGTGTTTGCATCCGGAACTTACTTTCCTGATTCGATCTCTTATCGTTGGAAACTTCATATGTGTATAGTGGTATTATCTCCGAAAAGGATGATATGAGAGGGGTCCTTGGCCGGTCAGAGCGAAAGGTAAAACAACCCAGAACCAGGTACGTTGCTGAGCGATGAATGATAGGGGACTTCGCAAATTAGCAAGCTACCGAATTGTTTTGTGCGCAACGTGTTTCGCAAGATAGAGGGCAGGCAAATACCTTGCTTGCGTCTCGGTCATAGACCCGTCTTGGATAGCGGACGGTACTCTTGAGCGGCATGTAAGATATTGAGGCTGACCATGGAGAAAGAATGCGCGCGTATGGATGCCTGTGACGGAGAAGAAGGCCGAGTAGGATTTGTTGCACCAACTCAGTACGCGAAGGGATAAACCTTGTTTGTTTTGGCGACTTCCCTCCTGACAGTCTGCAACCCCCCCACCACACACACACAGCCTCCTCTTGATTCGCTTCGTACGTTCAATAGTCATGACTTTTGCCTGCTCTTCCGTGCGCCGCGACCAGGGTGGCAAATCCTTACACAGGTGCAGGTAAGTTATGAACTCAATTGTTTGGCATAGATTAAAGGTTTGGAGAGTCAGTTAGGACTTATTGCCTCCGAGACATAGTCTGGGGGGGGGGTTAACGAAAAGTGGAGCTCGCGTAGTACGCTTGCGGCAACCACGAGGCCTTGGGTCGGTACCGGCACGTCCGCCTCGCCGCCAGAGACGGACAAGAAAAGGGTAAGGAGACGGGCGCTGGACGCTTGGAGATGGGCTTGCATGAGCACACGTCACAAAAACGGAATTAGGGAAGAAAAGAGATGCTTATGCATGGAGAAAGAGTATTACTGCATGGCGAAAAAGCAATAAGGTACAGCATAGTCGAAACGTCGGGGCCGTTGGGTGTGACGCCCTTGCAATGTGACGTGACGGGGCGGGAGGCAAGTCCGCGTGTTGGGAGTCGTGCGTGGCTAGTAAGAAAAAAGCAACCAAGCGGACGCCTGGGCCGCGAGTGTAATCCAGCAGTGGGGTATCCTGAACAGCACGCCGTGATGCAAGGTAGACCCTGGTCAGATGCGGGTGGATTATTTTTGGAGATTGTAGGCGTGCGCCAAATGCGCATAATGGACTTGATCCATGAGGGTGTGGACATGTCAACTCAACCATGAATTTTAAAAAAAAAAAGAACATCTTGTTTCTTCAAGCAAGACCTTGGTTGAAGATTGCAGCGGATCAGACGCTTCCACATGTAACGAGTAACCTTTGTTTTAACCAAGCAGGGATATGATTGGATCATTTACAATCACAAGCGTCCGCCGAGATCTTGCTTGAGCACATCCAGGATCTTCTTGCTGTCAACTTCCTCATCAGGATTACCTATTCCATTCTTGGGCATCCCATCCTCGCCTTCCTTCAATCTCTTTAGAATCTCCGGATCAAGTTCTCCCATCAATTCGTCAAACTCCTTTTGTTGCTCACCTTCCAGCTCAGCGTACTCTTCCTCTAACATAAACTCCTCTTTAGGTAACTCATCCATATCTGCAGGAAACACATGTATAGTTGGGAACTCGAGAACGGTCCGGCCATGTAGGCTCTCAGCGAGTGTACACGAGTAATCAAGCGGTATGAGTACGTGGCGGCTCGTGCTCGTGCGAGGTTTTAGTAGAAAAAACCTGGGCTGACCCATGGTATGGGCGCTTGGCTCATCATGACCATTATCGCTAGGGCGTCCGTCTGCCACGTCCACTTCTCTTTTGGAGGGTTGTCCTTTTTCTGACCGAGGAGGGGTTGTTCCTCCTCGGACAGGCGAGACGGGCTCTGACTGTGCGTCGCTGATCGGAACGTCCACGTGGATCTGTTGGAGTGGCTGGTCTTGATCCTCTGCAACAGGCGCGACATGTTGCTGTGACTGGGTTGATTCAAGAATGGTAGTAGTAGTAGCAGCAGCAACAACAGCAGGAGTTTCAGTGTTGAGCTTCCGTTTCTTGCTTTTGCTATTGACGCCATAGTGGGCAAAGGGCTGGGCATCTTTTATCTGTTGTACTGACGAGGTCTGAGTAAGCACACGCGTCTTGGACGCATCATCTATCCACTCAACTGTCCAGACGATATTGCGGGATGCTTTCCTGGGGATACAGATCAGTAGTGTTACGGGCATGATAAGTTTAGCCGGGGCGACTAACTTTGTGGCCGACATGTGCGACTTGTTCTCCCTTTGTCTGCTCAAACCCTGGGGCGCTCGGATGATGTTGACACCAGCAGCAGCCTCAAGTTTAGCATAGGGCACACCAGCGCGCTGGCGATTTGACAGACCGTCGGAGGGGGCGGCAGCAGAAGCGTGGGCGGCAACCTTATCAGCTCTGTCGAGATTCCGCTCTATTCCGGAGAGGAAGTTGAAGTCATGGTCAATGCCGGCAGGTGTTAGCAGCTGTGACTTTTTCACGAATTTGGTGGGATCACGTTTGCCAGAGCACTGGGCCCATTGTTGGTGTCGTTTATAGCATGGCAGTGAGCAAGTGCGTGCACTGCAACCGGGACAGCGGTATTTGAACTGTGTAGTATTGCTACAGGGAAGGGTCAGCAGTGGATTACCAGGGCCGGGCGTGCATAGCGGGCGACTGTGACGAGAACAAAGTGCAGCGGTGATTGAGGCAGGTAGCCAAGCATTCTAGAGCGTTTCCCGTTGAGCATCAGCGCTATTGGGGGAGTGAATTATCACAACGTACCAAACGCTGCACAGCTCGTTGAGCAGCGGTGCACTCGAAGTGTTGTCCATTTCTGGGGGAAGGGATTACAAGCAATGGCAGGCGGCGGAAGGGAGGCGGGAAAGTGTGGCGGGAGTGCTCAGGTGGCGTGCTGAGAAGATGGACCGGGATGCCGTGGTGCAAACGCAGAGACGCGCAGAGCATGCGGAAGTCGCGATACGGCAACGATGGTGCCAAGGCCAGATACAAAGGCAGCCAATGGGAGGCGGGCGATGGGGGGAGGTCACGATTTTACACGTCTGCTACTGCGAGTAGGAGTAGTTGAAGGACGACGATGCGACGGGTCCATGGAGGCGTCGATAGGCGCAGATTAGCGTAGGCCGACAGAGTTTGCAACTTGGGCCAAGGGAACTGCGGCGGGAGACTTGCAATCTAGCGCAGCGCACCAGCTTTCTAGATTACGTATCTATCACGAGGCGATACGCGGACAGGCTATAGCAATAGGGAGGATATTGTGCGCAGAAATGGTCGCCTGGGCCGAACTATAGGGATGCGGACCAGGAACCCTCTTGTTGGCGTATCTGCATCGGAGCATTCCCCACGCCTGCGCCCAATACTTGGGCTGGCAGGCCCACCTGGCTGCTGATCATACATGGCATGCAGTTGTGACGACAGGCACCGCGACACTGACACTGCGACGACCAGCACTGTGACATTGCGATACGGCGACGGCGACGGCGACGGCGACGACGACGACCTTTATGCGCTGCACTGCACCTCTCTGCTCTGGTGGCCTGCTGGTTGTCAGTAGACGGCTGAGGGCCAGCGTTTCAGTGAGGGTGCAGATCCAGGCCGGCTTACACCAACGAGAGCAGCAACAGCGCTGGTGCACAAAAGGCGTGTCGACGGCGGGCTTTGGATCGGAGTGTGGAGCCGATGCAGATGCAGATGCAAGGCATGCGTACAGGGCCGGCAGGACGCCATTGTTGTGTAGTGGTGTGTGAGTGCATGTATCGACAGTGTACACAGTGAGTAAGCATGCTGGCCTATACTTACACCCACTGGGCAGCAAGTAACCAGCCATAGCAGCCATAGCAGCCATAGCAGCCATAGCAGCCATAGCAGCCATAGCAGCCATGATACACAAGTCCAGCACGTCAAGGGGCATGGACAGGCTGCCTGCAGGTGCGGGAACAGGGCTCATGCACGCCACCTGGACGCAGACGTGTGCACGCTGCAGCTGTCTGCGCCTGTCGTGCACAAGACGCACGCCTGATTCGAATCTGGCCCAAATCGGCATTCAGCACAAGGCCGCTCCAACACTGCACACTATTCTTGCCACCATCCGTCCCTTCGCTGCCGCCATCCCTGGACGGCCCGAGTCACGGTATGAGTGTGAGTGGGCACCACTCCGAGGACGAGGTGGGCGGCCAAGAAGGCGCCGCAATGCTGCTCCACGTCCTCGCTGTCCACGTCGCCCCAACCACCACCACCCTCGTCACCCTCGTTCTCATCAACACCACGATAATGCTCTAGTGCGTACAATGCTCTTGTGCAGCCCAGCGTCAAGATTGGATGGCGGCCCTTGCACCCGTTGCCGCCGGCGTCTCTCGTGAAAACAGGCCAGCCGTTAATCCTACGACCGCCCGCCCCTGACAGCAAGGTGGCCCGTTCACCCTGAGCGGCCCTGCGCCAGGCAGGGATTAAGCTTCTTTCATTTCCTCCAACCGACGCTTGCGAAAGCCACCCATGTCTAGTTCTCGCGTCCCTCCTACCCCCAGCATCCAGTCCGCGCGCCTTGCCAGGCCGTCCCCAAAAGCCATGTTTCCCCCTGGCTGCCACCCTCCTCTACTACCCGCAGCAAGCTGGTTTTGAGCTCACAATCCATCGGTCGCGTAAAGCTGCTCCACGCCTCCGCCCTCGCTCACTCAACCAACCAACCAACCAACCAACCAACCAACCCAGTTTCTCGTCTTCGCCCGGCTTGCTGCTGCTGCTGCTCTGCGGTTTCAACTGGCCCAATCTCCCCAATGTGTTCATCCTAGTCCTTCACTGTCACTATAGTACTACTACACTGGTCCCCATCTGCAACCACTCCCTCCTTCTCCCTCTTCACTGTCCCACGCCCAACTCGATAGGACATAACTCTACCTTCTCGCAATGGCTCCCTCTCTGAGCCTGCGCCCTCGCACCGGCGCCAGCGAGCGTCCCCCAACCAGAGACAATGCCGACCACAGCCTCATCATCCCCAGCCGGACCTCGTCTCTCCACTCGAGAATCACCCAGCCGCTCCCCTCCACCTTGAACGTCAAGCAGGGCGCTAGAAGCCCCAAGACGCTTACCCATGCCTACATGGTTTGTGGTGTTGGTCGAGAGCCTTCGCAATGGGTCAAGGCACCTGCTCCCGCCCAGGGCAAGATTGGCCACATGAAGGGTGCTGTCGGAACTTTCTGGCTGCCCGAGATCTTGGGAAGCAGCCCCAGGCTCGAGCAGGACAACGAGATTGCCAGGTCTCTGCACTCTGCCATGAGGGTATGTTTGCAAATGCCTCACGATACCCCATTGTCACTTCAGTCTGCTAATCCACACTGCAGGCATGCTTCCCTCACGATGTCGAGATTTGCACTGGCAGAAGCCAGCCTCACTGCGTACATCACTCGTTTGTTCTGCAGCAGGATTCCTCCCACACTCTGTACGGTATTGCGCTCCGTGTCTGGTCGCGCGCCGACGAGAAGAGGGCCGAGACCATTCGCGATCTGCGAAAGCGAATCGAGCCCGACTTCTACGACAATCCAGAGGAGACATACTGGATCCCCTACTGCCTCAGCTTCCTCTCTCGCTATCCCTTGTACAACTTGCTCGGCGACTACCTCCGTGGTATGTGGATTCACTGGAACAAGGCCACCAACCTGTTCCACGCTGAGGAAGTATCTCGCATCCTCAGTTTCCCCGCACCGCGTCTGAACGACCTGGTCCGCATCGACATGAAGGACTACGCCCTGTGCTACCAATTCCCCTCCTCGCCCACCGGCTTCCAAAACTTTGCCATGTGGCCCCTCTTTACCTGCCTGTCCATTCCCAATATTGTGGGCGTCATCGAGGCCGCCTTGTCACCAACCCGACGCATCATCTTCACGAGCCACTACCCCGCCATGCTCACCGTCGCAGCCGAGACCGTGCGCTTTTGCGTAAGGGTGTACGAATGGAGCGGTCTCTATGTGCCCGTAGTTCATGCGCGTCACGTCAAAGATCTGGTCCAGGAGCCGGGTCCGTACATTCTTGGTGTCACCTCGGAATGTCGTTCGCTCTTCACGGCCCCAACCGATGCTCTGGTTGTCGATCTAGACCGTAACTTTGTACTTACATCAAGTCCTCCAACTGCTCTTTCGGCTGGCCAGAGGACCAAGATGATTACTCGCTTGACCCAGGCTCTCAATGGCGAGGTCGCACCAACAGGTGTGCCACAGCATCTGCGGTCAGCCTACGGTGGTGGCAAGCTCATTCCAGCTGGCCAGATTATCGTCATGCGTGGCGAGGTTGAGAGCATCCAAGACCCCGAATGGTGGTCTCAGGATTCTGTCATGTCCGTCATGGACCACGTGTGTGAGAAGCTTGTAAGTACCAAACCATTCAATGCTGTCCTACTTGTATCTAACACTACAGTCAGGGCCGAAACACCGGAGTCAAGGCAATCTTTGGCGGCTCCGTCAAGAAGCCACTCATGACCAAGGTCTCTATGCGTCACTTGAACGAGATTGTGCGCGAGCGTAACCAATATTCACGTGATGCTCAAGAGGCTTGGACCGACTTCATCAACCTCAAGCAGCGCATGGACAGCGAGCTGGGCAAGGTCACCAAGCGAAACAACTTCTTGGTTGAGGAGCTTGAGAGCTGGAAGCAGCAATTCCTCAAGTTCCAGGCTTTCGCCGAGCAGCTTACCAAGGAGACCCAGGATCTCAAGGTCAAGATTGAGAACCACAAGCGTGAGAACCGCCGTCTCAGCAGCCTCATTGATCAGCAAAAGGACGATGCTGCCAGACTCACTGTCCGCCTCTCTGGTACTGAGAAGCAGCGCGACGATGCTCTCGAGGCCCTCGTCCTCCAGCAGGAGATTGCCGAGGAGCTCGAGCGTGAGAGGAAGAAGAACAAGAAGGAGCTCGGCGCTCTTCAGCACACCAACTCTGCTATCCTCCGCCAACGCGACGAAGCACAACGTGTTGTGCTTCACCTCCGTGCTCTCATCGAGGGCCAGACCCACCATATGGAGCACATTGTCAAGTCCCTCAACCATGACGACATGTCAAACTACATGGAAGCTGGCTTCGATGATGTGCCTGAAGAGGACGAGGAGGACCATTTCCAGGACGCAGAGACCAAGTCTCAGGCACCTACCCACCGTTCTATCAAGGACAAGTCTGAGGTTGGTACCATCCGTGGCGTAGCTGGTGTCGACAGCCGCCAGGAGTCAAGAGCAAGCACTGCTCAAGGCAAGCACCTCGAGGGCGAGGATGTCTCACCAGACATGGAGCACCGTCTCTTCAACAACCCTGCACGCAGCTCCAAGCGCTTCTCAAACCAGTCCATGGTCGATGTTGCTGACCGTGTCCTCCGTGACAAGACCGATGCTATCGCATACATCATCCGCAACATTTCCGAGCAATGCGCCGCAGCTGTAGAGGGTCTTCAACTCGCCCAGCGCGCTGACATCGAGGAAGACCACCACAGTGATCGTCGCAGCAGCGTCGGACAAATGTCGCACGGCGGCCGCACCCAATCCACCATTGGCAGCGAGTATGGTGACGAGGAGAGCATGCTCCGCCCCGGTCGCGGATCAAGCATCCCCCCAACCCCAGACCTAAGCCACAGGTCCAGCACTTCCATGTCCATGGCTAGCGCCAGCACAACGCCAGACCGGTCAAGCCTACAGCACCGATCTCACGACGTACCTGTTGTGCCAACACGCATCTTGGAAGACGATGACGATGTCGAGGGCAACGGTAACAACGACCTCCATTCTGACATGGTGCCCGTCTCCAAGTACGCACAGCCGCTTGGAAGGCCCAGCGGTAGCATGCGTCACATGTCATCGCGTTAAGTGAAAAGCGTACAAGAGGCAAGGACTCTCTTGGTGTTTTGAATATTTGTTATTTTTCCTTGTTTTTGGACAATCTTGATTTATCATTAGCGATCGAGACGAGATTAGCATTGATGCCCTTTCCCTATCCTTGAACTGGCGTTGGCGTCCTTTTTCTTTCTTCTTTCTACTTTCTACATGGATGGAGGCCTAGTGCTTTCACATCTCAAAGTTATTTCATTCTCCTTTTGCATCTTCTTTCATTACCATCTTTGAGAGAAGCTTTTTTTTCTCCATCTTAACGAACCCGGAATGGGGGCTTATTCCTTATGTATGTTTTTTATTGCGACGAGTGAGATAGCTGAATCACTCGTTTTTTTAAACTCTATTTCTCTCACCCTTCGGCGAAGAAGAGAGGGAGAAAAGAGGAGAGCAAAACTCCCAGGGAGGATATCAGGTTAAAGGTGGTAGGAATGGGTGCTGGACTAGAAAAGAGGGAAAAGATGGTGATGGGGGTATAAGGAAAGGAAGAGCAGGGTCCCATCTTGTACAAGGCGGAAAACTGGTCTGCAATAGTCAGTCAGTTGCCTTGGCCCACACCTTTTAGGTTTTTCTCATCACTGGCTTTGGATGAGCTGGTGTTTTGAGATTTTGTGGGGTGGTTGTCTGGCCTTGTGTATCTCTTTTTTTCCCTTTTATCTCTCCCTTGTTTGTCGTGTGGTCGTCGTCGTTGTTGGCTTGTTGCTAGGAATAACATACCACCTTTTTCCTTGTTGTCTTTAATTCACCTATTTGATGTGTTCGTGTGTCTCCCTCTCCTTTCTTTTCTGTCTCTGAGTGAGGTGATATCTCATCCTGATTCTCTTTAATATCATAGTAATAATACCCTTTTGTAGATCTTGGACCAGAAAAGTTTTGCTTCACATGTTTTTATTTCATGTCTCTTTGATTTACAACACTGCAAGATAGATTAGACAAGATCAAGGCTCGGGTATGAATACTGAGTCGCATGTAAATAAACAATTTTTTTACAATAGAACTAAACATAGAAGCTATGTTTATCTTACTACATATACGCTATCTGCCGTGCATGCATCCTACTTGCTGTTTCATCTTCACTACCATCTTACATGACATAACACCCTTACCGCCACACCATCTCATCACAACACTAGCTATGCAGACCAACACTCTCATCCACCCTACAAGCATTCTTTCCCTCTACAAGCCACTGCATTGATCAAGACATAATATCACCCATCCAAACATCACTATCAAGCGCCGTTAAGTAGTATTTCGATTGTTACTTGGCTATTACTCTCCTACCAAGCCCAGCCTAGTAGACTTGACAGTGTGTATCTAGGTAAGCTGTTCTCTCTTTGCTTGTGTGAAGCAGTGGTATGATAAAAAGGCTGTCTAGACCATAGTTCGTAGAAGGGAGTTTTTTTTTAATTCTGTAACGTCTATTCCCTGCGCCTAGTTTTCAGCCAGCCGTAAGTGCACTGTAAAAGTTTATGCGCTTTGCTGAAATTATATCAGCATACATACTTTATAGATAAGTAGTGCGTAGTGTTGGCGTTCCTAAGGAGTTGCACTGTTGTGGTAGGGGCAGTTTTTATCCGGCTGTTTGCTTCTTGCTTCACCGGAAGGCGGGGTTACGGGGCTGAGCCAGGTCAGCACCTGTGTGCTTCGTGCTTCAAAAGCTTGCTCTCGTAGCCTGCTGCTAGTGTCATCATCTCCGCACTGCCTTGACTGTATTTTCTCGTGCTGCAGTCATGCGACTTTTCATTTTGATCAGTTTGGCCGACTCCTCTCAACAGACTTTCGCGGGAAGCCTATCCCACCATATGCTATTCTTTCACACAGATGGGAGGAATCAGAAATCCTCTTTGAAGACATAGCTAGCGAGACTTACAAAGAGAAGAAGGATGGCTATCGTAAGCTTATGTTTTGCGCTAAACAGGCAGCCCAAGACCAGCTCCAGTACTTCTGGATTGACACGTGCTGCATCAAACGATGGGACCGGCTTGAGCGCTCGCGAGCGATCAACTCAATGTTCCGCTGGTACAGCGAAGCAAAAAATGTTATGTGTTTCTATCGGATGTACCCAATGAAACGGATACAATACAGAGCAGCAACTGGGAGGCATCCTTCCGGGCAAGCCAGTGGTTCACTCGAGGCTGGACACTCCAAGAACTGATCGCGCCAGCATCGGTGGAATTTTTCTCCTGCAGGGAACAGCGACTGGGGGATAAGAGTTCCTTAGAGCAAATAGTGCATGAAATTACTAAAATTCCGCTCGCAGCACTGCGGAATCATCCCTTGGACCAATTCTCTCCACGCGAGCGAATGCATTGGGCCGACAATCGCGTCACCACCGAACAGGAAGACATTGTGTACTGCCTTTTTGGACTTCTGGGTGTAACCATGCAGATCAACTATGGCGAAGGGAAGGAAAAAGCATGGAGAAGACTTCAAACGGAAGTAGAGGCAACTAGCAGCACACCTTCCATCATTCCATTTTCCCGCAACGAGCATTTTTTCGGACGAGAGTCTCAGCTTGCCGCTCTACAGGCAAATTTGTTTAGCAAAGACTATACTACTACTACTATGACTAGATTGGCTATAGTAGGACCTAGCGGAACAGGCAAATCACAGCTGGCGCTAGAACTTGCATACAGAGTAAGAGAGGAGATCATGACTTGGTCAGTGTTTTGGTTGAATGCAAGCAACGTGGACAGTCTCGAACGGTCGTATGAGAGCATTGCCCAAAGGCTCGATATTCCTGGATGGGACGATGAAAAGGCAGACGCAAAGCAGCTTGTAAAACTTCATCTCGAAAAAGAGGACACAGCACATTGCTTGCTGATTTTTGACAACCTAGAAGACATCACGCTACGAGCTAGTAGAACTTCGTCGGCAGAGGAAGTAGGTTTGACTGCCTACCTACCTCAATCCACGCGATGCTCTGTCGTGTTCACAACAACTGAAAGCAGTCTAGCTGAGCGAATGGCGTCGCATGCGCTTATAGAGCTGCAGGAGCTGACACCAGATGTCGCTAAGGAGATGTTGAAGAACTACTTGAATAGAGACAAAGAATTTGATTCAACTGAGGAGCAGCAAGCAAGGCTTTTGCTACAAGAGCTTTCACATCTTCCGCTAGCGATTGTCCAAGCAGCAGCTTATATCAATGTCACGGCTGTATCGCTTGAGGGTTACCAATCAAAATTGGAGACGCATAACGACTACGATGTCAAGCAAGATAGCGGACCATCAAGGGACAGACTACAGAGGTGGAGAGTAAATGATCCTGTGGCTACCACGCTATTCATCTCCCTCGACGAGATCCGCCGTAGTCATGCGCTTGCAGCAGACTATTTGTTACTTGCAGCCTGCGTAGCCTCCAAGGATATCCCGTTTGAATTCTTCAAAGACGAAAACATTCGAGAACGAGAAAATGCTGTACATGTACTCAGTAAATACGGCCTAGTCACTCGACGGCCCGAAGACTCTGCATTGGACTTGCACCGACTGGTTCATTTTGCATTGCAAGAGTGGCTTCAGCAGCGGAATCAGCTTCAGCAGCAGATCGAATATGCCATCACACAGCTACTTCGGGTCTTCCCAGACAGCAGTCATCAGAATAGGAGTAAGTGGAGACGACTGTTTCCGCATACTAAGTACGCTCTGTCGTACAGGTCTCCTGAAGCAGAAAATGGCGAACAGTCAGATCTGGCATGGAGATACGCAATGACGTTTTACAGTGACGGACAGTATAATAAAGCGGAAGAGCTTTTTACGCAAGTGATGGAGACGAGAAAGAGGATACTCGGGGGCGAGCATCCTTTTACGCTAGCTTGTATAGCGAACCTAGCAACAGCATACAGGGATCAACAACGGTGGAAGGAGGCTGAAGAGCTAGAGGCAAAAGTGTTAGAGATAACAAAGAAGGTACTCGGGGACGAGCATCCTGATATGCTGACTAGTATGGCGAACCTAGCAGCAATGTATAGTAATCAACAACGGTGGAAGGAGGCCGAAAATCTAGAGGTGCAAGCAGTAGAGACAGCAAAGAGGATACTTGGGGACGAGCATCCTCAAACACTGACTTGCACGAGTAATCTTGCCATGACCTTTTGGTTACAAGGACGCCACGAAGAGGCCATCCCTCTTGTACAGAGATGCTTCCAACTGCGTGAACGAGCCCTTGGTGCGCACCATCCGGATACAAAATTGGCATTGAATTGGTTAAACCAGCGCCGGGCAGAGAGCGCAGAGAAGCACGTTTAGTTTACTAGTATTGCCTTTGGTTCTAGTTTAACGAAAACAATAATCTAATACACTAGACTAGAATACTCATATAAACAATCCAAGCAGTATAGTGCTTACATGGATTCGCATAGATGTTTCTTTCTTTTCGAGAGCTCGGATAAGTTTATAGTTTGATAGATATTTTGTAGGGGTAAAGAAGAGAAAAAAAGGTTGTAACTTCTTGATGTATATTTTGTGGGATGCACTAAAAAAAAGAGCAATTTGAGTCTACTTGACTAAATATTGGGTTCGGCCCATCTGATCTGCGGTGGGTAAGTAGCGAGGTAGTAGAGAAGAGGACCTTGATTTCCCCCCTTTTTTTCCCTTCCTCATCATAGCTTCTAGAGATGGAGATGGAGATGGAAGATGGAGACATATGTCTGTGTGTATGTACGAGAAGAGCGCGAAAACAAAACAAAAAAACGTCATGTCAATACGTGGAAAATGGTCATATCTTCTCTTGCCCACACACATACACACATATACACGCAAGATAGGCAATACGACAATAGCATCCTTCACATATAGCCACAGACCATGCGAGAAGGATTTAAAGTTTTTGTTCTCCACCACGTAAGCGAATCACCAAAGTTTCGAGTCAGCATCAAAGTGTGAGTGATCATCAGGTCAAAACCAAGTTTTTTAACCATTATGCCCGCCACTGTCCATGGAATAATGTCCGAAGAAAAGAGAGGTTTGTTAACACTCGGAATCGAATCATACTGGTGATGGTTGAGTCATGGCAAACATTAGTGTTTCGGCTTGACTTTCCTTTCTATTCGTACGTACGCAAGAGCAACGGTTATGGCCCGGCCGTTTCTTGTTAATGTCCGGGGGGACCAGAAAGAATGGCGGGGGCCCACTTGCCCTCCTGATAGCAAGTCTCGTTTGGGCATGTGCTGTACGCGTCTTTTGGGCGTCTGAGCAGGTTGTCCAAAATTCCATACTTTTCTTTACAGTAAGTAGTACTTTACACACTTTCCTTGGCGATCCACGTGCGAAAAGTTTCTAAGCAACAGATTATGCGAGATACGATTACGTAGTTGTCATTTCCTCCCCCCCTGTTACAGTTCGAATGGCTAAAAAAAAGGGAAAGATTATGTAACTGAAAGACCGGGATGCCAGACAGAAAAAACCTGACACACAAAGGGAGAGTGTAGCAGGCACGAGTCGTGGCAGATATACCACTTCAAACCTTATTTAATGGATAAGGAAGCAAAACGGAGTTGCTGTTGTCATGCAAACCCATATAAAAAGGAAAGGGCGAAAAGGTGGGGCAGATTCACGGTAGTTGGACAAAAGACGTTGAGTGGACCGGGGCTGGCGATATCCTGCGTTGATACACGACATCACGTCAATGGTAAGCTTTTGCTATGATAGGCGAAGTGGGAGGCCTTGAACCAGGGGTTCGCAGAAATGCACGTCAAAAATGGGTCTTTGGAGGGGCATGCAGGTCCAAGTCATGACTTTACAGAAAGAGACATGGTTGACCGGGGTAAGCTACCTCTACCCCGCACCCAATGAAGTGAGGGCAACGAGGGCGAGTAGGTGTCTGTGCAGCGATTGAGGCCTGGATCTCTCTCTCTCTCGCATCTGTTAAATCGGAGGAGGGATGCGTATTCGTATGTGTGCAGCAGAACCGGGTAAATCGGAGTAGCTCAATCTCCAGATTTTGCAGGTTTCAAGACAGAGCGTTGTGGGCCGGGGGTTGCGCCATGCAGCTGCGTACTCAGCTAAGCACATGCCGTCAGTAAGGACCTTGAGAACTCATGGCCTCTCGTGGCCCGGACAGGCTTCAGACATGGAACGCGGGCAGGGTCCGTCCCGGGCTGGGCTTGCCGAGTCGAGGATAAAAAGATCGAAGCTTACTGCGTGTCTTGTGCCGTTGTGGCAATCAGCTTGTACGCGAGAGTTGAAACAAACGGATGCAGTGTTTCGGCCTAGCACTCGGTAGTATTCCTTCGCTTTTGATATGGAACCGTGGCACAGTGCGCGATGTGCAGGAAGCAGGTCGTGGAGTGGATGTTGGTCGACATGGCGCAAGCATGCAAGGACCTATATTAGGCTGGTGTTATTACACTAGGTATCCACACGTACATAATACGGTATGTACAGTGCAAACTTAGGCAGATATCAGGCCAGGAATAAAGCCAAGTCTGGTTAGATAGCAGTGTTGCAAACGGCCGTCTGTCCTAGAGCAGGCGGTTCGCTGAAACTAGCCTTTGTCTAGTGACAGGTCACATTTAATCCCCACTGGCATGGGATTTCCGTGCACCGTTGGAGATGATATATACTTGTGTATGTATGAAGATATGCTCGGGACGACGCGTCAGTAGGCCGAGTAGCTGCTTCGGGGTTCTACGCAAGGTGAGTTGATTGTATACACGAGGCTAAAGGCGTTGGGCTGCAAGAGTTTGATGGTTGCGGGATCAGGTACCCGTGCAAGGGCGGTAGTTGCCGAGGCGAAGTTTGTGGTTGCGATGGTTTTGTCGAGCCGTCGGGCGTCGTGCAGTGGAGCGGCCAGCACGTGGCTGGCAACGTTTAGAGCGCGGGCTTCCTACTGGGGCATAGTGAGGCTGCGGCTAGCCACACAGTCACATTATTGCGCCGACTGCACTTCCACTTCTGCAGTCGGACAAGCAGGCGGCGGAGATTTACATGGCGCAGAGTCGGCTTGAGTTTGGCGGGTTGAGCAGATGCAGCAGAGATTGTTCACACCATATGCCGGAGAGTAACGATAGGGGTTTAGTAGAAAGGGGGGATAGCAGCATGACTATCGACAGCACTGGCGCTGGCAGCAGACGCTAGGAACAGGAAAGGGCCAATGGATTTGGACGGCTTGTTGCATGAGGGAGGGAGTCGAGGGGCGGGCATGGTCAAGGACACCGGGGGGTTTTGATTTTGGGGGCGATGTAGTATGTCACTAGAGTAGATACTTACAGCCAACCCCCCCTTCTCCGTGGTACGTAGTGTTCGCACGGGGTTGGCGCAGCCTCGTCACGCAGCTTGGCTAAGCGACAGGAAACGGCTATGTCGGTTGCAATTTGGGTAGGATTGGCCGAACTGAAACACGCTACTCTTTGATGATTCTACGACTGTACGAGGCTGACAGCGCGCAGACGCGACTCGAGATGCAGGCCAACTTCGGCTTGTTCAGCAGGGCGAAGACGACTCTGACAAGATCTGCGCGCGCCGGTCCCGTGTGTGGCCAGGAGGCGAGTGCGATGGGCAATGTTTGCAACCGTGTCGGGAGCAGTCGGCCGATGCATGAAGAGCATCTGCCTGTGTTATATGCTCGAGCGCCTGGGCGACATGACAATCCGAATGTCAGCGTCGTGGGCTGAGCTGGGCTGGGCGCTGGTGCTATCGCTAGTGAGGCGTCGGTTGGAGGTGTATGGGTAGTGTACTCGAGCTAGTTCGCACGTGGGAGTGGTGAGAGTACTTGGATAGTCGGAGGAGCCAATGGCCAATGTCAGTGTTGAGCCGAGCTGGCGGCAGAGGATAGATGAGGCCGTGGTGCGCTGGGCATGTGCGTGGGCGTGGGTATGGGCTGGTGCGGCGTGGTGGATTACTAGTATGTAGCCAAGTAGTGTGTGTGTAGTATATCGATACCCTGCATAGGATCTGGCGATTGCAATGCAGCAATGCAGGCCGGCGGAGCAGATGGGCCTGGCGGGCTGCAGGAACAACGGCTGCTGGCTGCTGCTTGCTGCTTGTGGCAATGCCTATGGACCCGCCGCCGCGCGGGCAGCGGACAAGGCGCGTCCACATTCACGCCGAGCAGCAGGTCAGGGTCCTGGCCTCTTCTACTTCGGGGCGCCCTCTGCATGGTTCGGGGGTGGGTGCTGTCGAAGGCGCGCGCTCCCCCTGGAAATCATCTGGCGCTAGGGGGTCCTTTGTCGCTCTGATGACCCGCGCCGAACCCTACTTGCTTTGCTTTTCTGTCCTCTGGTCTTCACAAGCAGAATAATTCCTTCTTCACTATTTCCCCGCGGCCCTCACTCTGCTGCTGCTGCTGCTGCTGCTGCCGCCACTGCTGCTGCTGTTCTACTCCACAGCTGCATAGTCGCGGCCTGCGCTCCCCATCGCGCTCCACCTTGACCACCACCCCGTCTACCTCTCATCACCCCAAACCACTACGCGGATGCCGGCCAGGGCCACCACCGCGCCTGTTCTCCCCTCCTCGCTCCGTCCAGTTGCACTCACCCCACAAGTATAAAACAAAACCTCGCCGTCCCGCCATACCGTGCTGCACACCACTCCTTCACTTCTCACGGCGCTGCCGCGGCCGCTCGAATGGCCACTTCACCACCAGGCTCGCCCGCCAACGGTGTTACGCGGCCCATGAGCGCCATGTTGCGCTCCAATCGCAGTTCCAGTCGTATGAGTATCAGCAGCAAGCCCGGTGAGAGCAAGGCGTCGGACGAAGACAGCAGGACCGCCGTCAAAGTTGGTAGGTGCCGCCCTCCTCCACGGTCCGATATGCATGCTGCGTACTAACCACCCTCTAATGCAGCCGTCCGCGTGCGTCCTGCACTTCAGCATGGAGATCCTGGCTACGAACTCATTCCTCAACGATTTCGCAATGCCTTGTGTCACGTCACTTCACCCTCGAGTCTGACTGTAGACGCGGCTGGAGGCAAGAAGATCTTCATCTTTGACCGTGTCTTTGACCAGGACATTAACCAGGAGGGCGTCTTCGAATATGTCGCAGACAGCGTCCATTCTTTTGTCCAGGGCTACAATGTCTCTATTCTTGCCTACGGCCAGTCTGGCGCTGGAAAGTCGTACACAATGGGCACTACAGGCCCACGAGACCAAGCCGATCCCGAAGTTATGGGTATGTTTAACTTGCCAACGCACTCTTGACAATAAAAAAGACAAGGTGATACTGACTGCGCATCTAGGTATCATCCCCCGCGCAGCCGCATTGCTGTTCGATAAACTCGATGGGCCCAACAAAAGCGCCGGCTCCGGCATTCGCGCTCCAAGTCGCTTATCTGGAATTCAGAACTTCACTGCCAAGTCTTCAGCATCGCAGGCGAATAGAAACTGGCAGCTGAGGGCCACGTATGTAGAGGTAATGACACCCCAGCCGAAAAAAAAGAAAAAAAAGTAAAGCCAAAAAAAGCACGCACTGACGCAAGCAGATCTACAATGAGCAACTTCGCGACCTGCTACTACCCGAAAACGTAGCTCACGGCGAGCGACCTCAGGTAAACATCCGAGAGGACCGTGATGGTCGCATTCTCCTCACTGGGCTCACCCAAATACCCGTAAACTCGATCGATGATTTGCTCGGTGCTCTCAACTTCGGCTCCTCAATCCGGCAGACTGATGCGACTGCCGTTAATGCCAAATCGTCGCGCTCCCATGCCGTCTTTAGTCTGAATTTAGTACAGAAGAAATCTTCGCCAACAACAACAACATCAACCCGCGAGAAGCGCCGGTCTGTGCCCATCGAAATGATGTCTGGCTCTAGTGAGAGCTGGGTAACTGTGGATAGCAAGCTACATTTCGTCGATCTGGCGGGAAGCGAGCGGCTGAAAAATACAGGGGCGCAGGGCGAGCGCGCCAAGGAAGGTATTTCAATCAACGCAGGCCTTGCAAGCTTGGGAAAAGTTATTTCACAACTGTCGGCACGCTCCCACGGGGGCTATGTTTCGTACCGGGACTCCAGGCTTACGCGCCTTCTGCAAGACTCGCTTGGCGGTAACGCTATCACATACATGATCGCCTGCGTCAACCCAGCTGAATTCCACCTAAGCGAAACCCTGAACACAGTCCAATACGCGCAGCGCGCCCGTGCTATCCAAGTTAAACCCCAGATTCAGCAGGTCCATGACGACAGCGATAAACAAGCGGCTATCGACCGGTTGAGAGCCGAAGTTCAATTTCTTCGAGACCAGATACGACTATCTGAGCGCGCGGATAGAAAGAAGACCGGCCCCCAAGAGCGCGCTGATCGGCAAGACGAGCGTGAAGCCGAGCTTCAGAATCAGCTGCTGGATATTCAGGAAAACTACAACGCCCTAAGCGCGCGTCACGCTAAACTTATCTCCGAGATCACCAAAGCACGTGACAACAGCGAGACGGAAACGCCTATGCTCAAGGATGCTATTGGCGACTCCGCAGTAGAACGATTGAAGAGATCAAACTCTTTCGCCGAGGCCGTCGAATCCGTTGTCCTGGAATACGAAAAGACTATTCAGACACTGGAATCATCTCTCTCCAACACGCGATCTACCTTGTCAACCCACGAAAGCGATTTGCTGGAAAAGGAGACTCGCATCGCCATCCTCGAGAGCCAGAATCAGCATTTGCAGTCTCGTCTCCAAAAGGCAATGGAGCGTGACGCCAACAACGAAGAGTACGTCCAGTCGCTCGAACGCCAAATCGACTCCTCGGTCAATGGCATTGAGAAGAACGACACCGTAATATCTGAACTGCGCGAGAAGCTGCAAAAGGCTCGCGAGAACGAGACCAGCAGTGAAGAGTACATCTCTACACTGGAAGAGCGCCTCGCCGAAAACGAGCAAGAAACCGAGATGATGAGTCGTGAGATTGAGCGACTCAAGCATGTTGTCGAAAGACAACGTAGTGTTGCTAAATTAGACAACCTACTCTACGAACTCGACAGGACGGACTCAAAAGCCGAAGAAAATCACGTCAATGGTCACTCAAAGACACCTAGTGATCCCTTCATCGACAAGCACACCAACCTCGAGAGGCGAGTGACCACTGACAGCATGCACCAATTTGGTACTCCTATCGATGTCATTCCCGAGGAGGCTGGTAGCGAACGTCCCCAGACCGCCAGCACCGCTGCTCATCATCCTGATGCCGAGGAGCAAAAATCCGATTTTGCTGTCAAGGCCATCTCCAATGATGGAATCCGTGACGATACCGACGATGGACCATCGAGCCCTGCACAAGTCCGCTTCGTCCACGACAAGCTTGACACAGTTACACAAGAGTTGCTTGATCTCCGTGTAGAACACGAAGGGACACTCCAAGACTACGAGAAGCTTGCCAGCAAGTACCAGGAGGCTTTGCGCACTTTGGCAGCTCTTCAAGACTCTGTCGATGAGGCGCGTCACCACGTTACGTCATCTGCACCACCTTCCCGACCGACATCTTTTTTATCAAACGCGGGGGTGAATGGCCTCACAGCAGAGGATGGACAACCTTCGTCCTCGCGTACCTTGTCTGCGGAATTGTCCTTAGCGGAGTCTGGCAGTACCAGTATTCCAGACGAGGGGACGGAAGTTGGCCATGATGAGGCCACCCCGAGACGAGCTTCAGTCACCTCTCTGGGCCAAGAGCAACACATTCCCGAGATTGTCCTTGTTCAGGAATTGAAAGCCTTGAAGCTACTGCAAAGTGAGAAGGAAGAGCGCATCAATGAGCTCCAGCAGACTTACTCTGAGCTACAAGAACAACACCAAGACACGCTCGACTACGTCGAAGAGCTCAAATCAGAGATCACCAAGGCTCAGCTGAACCGGCCAGCTTCGCCATCAATGCACATGATCCGTCGAAAGTCGAGTCAAGCAGTCCTTGCAAACGACCGCGCCAACCGCGCTGTTTCCTCTCTTCGAAACCTTGTGCTGGACAGGTTGGACGAGGATGAAGACGCCATACAGAACTTTGAGCTCAATCTCAACACAATCATGTCCGAGATTCAAGTACGCTCAGACCGAGTTCAGGATCTGGAGTCTGAGGTTCAGTCCATACGCAAGGAGATGGAAGGTAAAATGACTTTGATCAGTGGTTTGACAAAGGAACGCTCTAGCTTGAAGGCTGGATCTCCTCTTGACATCTCTATTGTTGCTTCAATGCAGGATCAGATGAAGCAAAATGAGGACCATATCCGAGAGTTGAAGGACTCGCACGCTCAGCGGGAGCAGGAGCTCAAAGCTCAGATCGAGACACTCAAGTCTTCTGTCAAGCTTGGCGCGTCATCGGAGGACCTGCTCTCGCACCGACAGATGCCAGATACCCCTCGGACAACCAACGGTGATGTCGAGTCCGACGAAGATGCCACTCGCCACAATGAACTCATCAAGCTTAGCGATGAAGCTGCTCACTGGCACTCCAAGCACCTTGAGGCTATCGAAGCCACCAAGGCCTCGGAGAGGCAGCATATTGAGACTGTTCGTGAGCTGGAATCTGCCAAGCAACGGCTTGAAGTAAATCACGCTCTACGCTTGTCTGAGATCGAGCAGACAAGAGGTGCCGAAGCCGAAGCCGCTTTGCAACATGAGCGCGCCAAGCACGCTGAGATGATCGCCGCTTTGCAAGCCGAGGTGGACGAACACAAGTCTACAGCTTTGAACAACGCTGCTCGTCTTGCCGAGCTTGAGGAGTCACATACCAATATTGTCAGGCAATTCGAGGAAGACTCTCAAGCCCGTTCGCTCACCGAGAAAGAACTTGAGACCCATCGATCTCTCGTCACCAACCTGGAAAGACAGATTGAGGAGCACAAGGCAGCAATCGAGTACCATCAACAAGGCATGGACTCTATCCAGAAGAACCACGCTGCTGAGCTCGAGAAGCTCACATCAGAGCTTACGACTCACAAAGAGACAGCATCTTCTCTGGAGGCTGATCTCTCCAAGGCGAAGACCGAGATGGAGACGCTACTTCAAGGTGTTTCGGCTGCCTTGGGCGAAGAAACAGACATCAGCACCATCCAGTCGCATATCGAAGCGTTGGTCAAAGAGCGCAAGTCAATTGCCAATCGACTAGATGAGGCTGTCAAGGACCTTGAATCAGCAAGGAATGAACTTGCAGAGGCTACCAGCACCATCAACAAGCTCAAAGGCAACCTCAAAGAGTTTGAGCTTATCAACACCGAGACGCTGAAAGAGCTTGAGAAGGTCAGTGAGAAAGAGCTCAAGAGTGCTCGTCTTGTACAAGAACTGGAGGACCAGCTCAACCAGAACTGGGACCAGCATGAGGCTGCCAACAACCGACTATCCGCTCTGCAAACTGAGCGCTCTCGCGAGCTTCAAGATGCTATGACCCACAGCGAAGAACTCGAAAAGGAAGTACAGGAATCACGCATCAAGATTGCGCTCCTAGAAGTAAGCTCAACCACATTCCCACCCATAGACATATCTAACGTGACTAGTCCCAACTCGTTGATGCAAAGCGCAACTCTGCCCGTGTATCTGTGGATCCTCGCGAGGACCTTCAACGATCCAACTCAAACAACTCTACCGCGCGCAAGAACGCTGCACACACTTCCTTGCCCTCACCCCCGCCAGCTATTCCTCTTCCCCCTCTTCCTCCTGGCAGTCCGCCACCCCAAACCAATGCACCTTCTCCTCCTACCTCGCGTCACCAAAGCAAGGACATTGCTCATGCTCAGTTGGTCGAGGACCAGGAGGCTCGTATTCGCACCATTGAGAAGCATCTCTTTGCTGAGAAGCAGCTTACAGCTACCTTGGAGGACGCCTTGACTGACCTCGAGGCCTCCAGCACGAAGACCAAGGCTGATCTGGATCAATTCAGGAAGAAGTGCGCCACTCTAGAAGAAGAGCTCAATGTCATGCGCAAGGAGCGCAGCGCAGCACGTCACTCCCTCCAAGCTGTCGAGGAGGAGCGCAACGCCCGTCTACGTGTTGAAGCTGAGCGTGCTCACCTGGAAGCACGCATGGCAGCTCTCAACGACGCCCAAAAGAAGGGCAGGAAGAAGGGTACACTCAACTGCTTCTAAGCTCCTTCACCCACCCATCCCACACCTTTATCCTTCATGTACCTGCTTCTTTGCCACCTACTTCTATCGGCGCACACTGGGAGGGATCATTACAAAACATGCGCTACATACCCACTGTTACACTTGTTCGACAAAGGTTGCTTCAATATTGTCGACGGTTCTTTTTTTCCTTTACCTTTTTGATACGTCTTTATGCTTTCAACGATTTGTAATGCTCGCATCTCTGGCACATACATCGTTGGACGAGTGGTGTCGTTTTGGACATTTACATCTTCCTGCATTGTACCCCTACCTCTTTTCTCTCCCTATGCATACCCCATACCCTCATACCCTCTCCCCCTTACACCTTCTACTTCCTCTACTTTCATAATGTATATTCTGAGGCAGTTGAACGGCTCGAACAAGGCCATCTACATAGCCTGGGGGGAGTGTGTTTTTCTGCAACATTGACGAGCGAGCTTAGATACATGACATAAAATGCAAAGCCCTTTCATACTGTTCTTTAAAGCGAGTGATGCTGCGGGATCAATTACTCCCACATGTATCTTGTTCAGAATTGCATATATGTGTGTGATAGGAATGTTACTGTGTAGCATCTAGTGACTAGACGTGGGTCTTTTATGCGCAAAGTATTTTTTGACAAGTGAATGACTACGGAATGCAGTTAGCCCTTGGAATTTATGTTGCTGGAGAGTCAAGAAAGTAGGAGGAACGAATACGTAGCGCATATGTCGGTTGGAGAAGGGCAGATGCATCTTTATCGCTTTTTGCATAGAGTTTCCCTTGCACCAGGGAAGCTATCTTATCCTATACTCAGCTTGGATATAGCAGGGCACGCAAAGAAATAGGCATATACTATCGACAGCAAGACAATCCAAGGCTCTTGCATTCAGTACATGTGATACACTCCTATGTCTGGGTTTTTCTTCACCGCGAAGCTTCTATGCCTTTAACCTGACGTATGCTACGCGAGTAGCTTATGCAGGATCTATTTGTGTGTCTGGCATAGCAAGAGATTCCTTCCCTGCTTGTCGATATGACGAGTCAACAGCATACCGACATGGAATCAAACTACTGTCATGCAGTCTACAACCACCATAGTATACACCCTTGTATACCAACAGTTATTATAAGGCCTAGTTTTCACATTCGATCAATGCACCGCTTCCATGTTCAGGCGAGAACCTGATGAAACAATGCACGCGTATAAGTGCAGTCTTGCTGGGCTCTAGATCAAATGATTGAATTTGATCAACGAAAGTACTTGAAAATGTTACGATATGGATACTTGGGACTCCCGATTTTCAAGATTCTACATAGTAATTAGGGCTGTGCAGTTGTAGTGATTAAAGCATCAAGTTTCGGAAGAAGAACACTATAGTCCTACCAGTAATATCGATGGTCGATGTAGAGTTTAGAACTTGGAATCAAATCAAGATTACAATAAAATAAGCAGAACATTTTGTGCTCAGCACTCTGAGCTTATCCCAATAGTTTCGTTTTGATTTGCATGAGCGAGTAAAGAGCGGTTGCGTGACTGCTGCATTACATAAGCGGCGCTACGGAGGCTCGGCGCCGAGCTCGAAGCTAAAATTTCTAGAGCTCAAAACCGTTCTCTACATCATTCTCATCATCAACCACACAATGCGTCTGCTTTGCGCGCTTCTCTATCGTCTTTGATCAGTACTAATGCATCAATCGCACATGCAAACATAACAGGTAAGCCATCACCAGCTCTCGCGACTCCTGCAGAAGATTATCACATACGAACAATCCAAATCCTACAGCATCGTGAAGGACTATACAAACTCTAGAATTACAATGATGCATACAGTTACATGCGCTTTCTTACAGCTTTCTGTTTGCGCAAATCGCTAACAAAGCTTCAGTGTAATGACACCTAGGATTGACAGTTATCCATAGAGATACAGTTTCTTTTTCTTCTTAAAGGTAAGGCATCTCCAACTACCCCTACCCACCATCCGCAGAGTGATGAAAACACGACACGGAAAGGCATTCCTCGACCTGAATATACAATGTCGACACACTTGCTTTTAGTTTCAGCCTTGTCTGACACTGCTCAAACCTATCGCATTTCGCATACTTCTTCTTGCAATCAAGGTGCTAACTGTGCTTGAATAGGTACATACTCCCTGCGCTCAAACCCTGTGCATTCCGCGAACACCCTCAGCTTCCTGATGAAACCCTTTTGATGCGTCGGGCGGACATAACGTATACCTCGACTGGGCATCCATCAAAAGCAGGCGTACAAACCTGTGGGTGTTTGGAAGAGGCATTACTTGTTGATACAAGCATCACTGATTGCCCTCGTTTCTCACACACATGACGACATATTCTTGTGGAATATTTTTTAACAGACCCCATAGGTACGGCTTTTTACTTTTTCTCAAAAGACAGTCCATCATTGTAATGATGATTCTTGATATTCACACTGTGTGAGTGGCGGCGTTGTAACGAGCGTCCGTCATACTGATCACTACAACCAAATCTGATTTAATGAGGTATGTTTAAGGCCGTAAATCATTGCTATGTAACTGTCAACTAATTTGCTCTAGGCTGAAATTCGATGGACTTGTTCTATTCATGTTTTATGGATATCGTTGTCTCTTCATGGACACACGCTAACGTGTTCATATTAGCCTTAGCTTTGCGCGTTTGATATACAATTGCTTTCTACGACTTCGGTAAGTGTCATTGTTTGCTTATTCTCCCCCCTCCCCTTCGCATGATGAAAAACATGATTCGCTGTATTCTTTCTTAATCACATTGAAGATACAATCACCTTGGAGACCTGAACCCGCACTATATACCATTCATTGCGTTGAATATACTTTTGGTTTGACGATTGGCTAACCATATGCAGTTACTCGAATGCGGGTTAGTTGTTCTAGAGCAGATCTGCGATGTCGATAGAGTATATAGTCTCAATACACTTTGCCTTATTCATGATGCTTAATTAGGTTCATGTTAGAGTGAATTTTGCGATGGCGATGCAGCGATGTCGTGATGGAAGCATGAATCGCTTCTACTCGCCTTGGAGATAGCCCGACGTGACCGCTCTTTTCACCGTATCCCGCAAGTAGTAAGTCTCAACAAAGGTTGACGAGGCCGCGAGCCGCTCAGCCGCGAGCCAGCGTTCCCTGTCAGCATGTACATGTACGTTAGTGGCAGTTTGACAGCACCGTGGGACTTGCATGGATAGGCAGGGTAAGGCAGAGTAAGTACAGTAAGAGTAAGTAAGTAGAGACCGGCGTACAAGACGAGAAGACTATTTTAGAGTCTGTGCCCACCAGGCTGTTGGCTCGGTGTGGGGGTGGTGTGTGTAGTGTAGTGTAATATGTGTGTGTGGCTTGCATTGCGTGCATGAAAAGGCGGTCAGCAGCATGTCTTGACCACTACTGTTGAACAATGAGTAGTTCACTCCGGTACCTGCGCATTGACTAAGGTAGGGGGGCAAGGCAGTAAGTACGGGCAAGACAGGCCAGAACCCAGAACCTGAACCAGACCCAAAAAAAAAATGTCGGTCAATCTGATAAAGTGATAGTCGGTCAAATACGGAATTTACGAGAATGCGGCGAGAGACAAAAGTAAGCTGGTTTTTTGTTTCTCCCTTGTCTCTCTCGCTCACTCTTGAAGGTCTCTCTGGGTTTTTTTTTGCTTTTCTGCGGCCCTCTTTCTCAATGTGGCTGGGCAGAGGGTAAACGATGTTGCTTCATTGATTCTTGTTGTTGTTGTTTCTTTTCTTCTTTCGGGGAAGTGCCCTTTTCTCATTTATCTCCCGTGCTTCCGCTCTTTAGCGTGTCTCTCTTTACCTCACTTCTTCTATATGTGTGTGTATGTATCTCTGTCTGTCTTGAGGGGAAAGAGAAAAAGAGACGAGAGACAATCGGTTTAAAGTTGGGGTAGCGAAGGAGGGAGGGGAGAAAGAAGAAAGCGGTGTTAATATCTAGATGTTATAAATCTGATACGTTAAGACATTGATTGATGCTTGTGGTGTGGACAGGGAAGGAGGGAGAGGATGAAAGGGTCCAACTGTCCCGTTTGCTCCTATTCCGCTGCTCAAAGTGTGGTTATGGTGGCGGACGGCTGGAAGGACGGCTGAGGATATGGCTGGCGACTGGTGGTGCGCGGGTGAGATGGGACATGTGTGTGCGCACATGCGGGGATTTTGCATCGTGCGTACTGGCACTGGTTATCGATATCCGCGCATTCTTCTTTTGTTCTTCTTTTTCTTTTTTTTCTCCCGATCACATCTCCCGTCCTCGCTCAATTATCGTCGACGATTTCTTTTTTTTTCAGCCAGCCAATAGGTGGTCGATGCATCGCTTGTTCTTTCCACATTTGTTTTATTTTCACCGGCTGGCTGGATTTCTCAATGTCTCGGTCCAGCTCGGGCTCGGATTTGGATTGACGAATGAATCAATTGGAGCTGCCATTTCACACACTGCGAACAAGATATCAACAACATCAATCACATCAAAATAAACAAGTGAGAAACTAGCTTTAGCAAAGAAATATTGGTTTTGGATGACGTGGTTTGCGTGATGCAGTTGCATGTGGGGTATATGTGTGTGAATGTGTTTTTGCATGCATCTCGCATGAGAAGACGCACATGCATATTGCTGTCAAGCCACGACGTCCGTTTTTGGCGGTGTACATCGAATAAGAGGATTCACTTTGTTGAGACAAGTGAGGCGTGATGGGCAAATGCATGAGTAGGATGATTGGCCTTGTAGAGTTTGGCTACGAAATAATTTTTTTTTACAGCCGGCTTCTGTTCAGCTGAGAGTCTGTGTAGCGAGAATCCATTGATATGTTTCTCAGCTCTGGTAGCATAACCTAGAATGGTGAAGATAGCGCAGCTAGATGGACATGCAGCAACCGCCTGGGATCCTTGACCAGACGGACCTTTCCATCGGGATAAGCCAGCGGTGATCGAGAATCAAGATGCTCACGTAACCGTGTATCTGGCGGAACAATCCGAATCGCTCCAACGCGAGCAGCCAATAGCTATCGTTCGGGAGTATTATGGCCATATGCTTCGGGCCGGATTCTACATGTGCGAATAGACGTTAAGCTGACGTTGGACTAGGTCTGCCGAGAAAGGATTCCGGAGAACAAGTGGACTGGGAAAAGATGTGTACTCTATGCGTGGAGAGACCGTGATCTGACCTTGGAGACAATGAACCACCGACGAAATGGAGATAAGCGGAATATCAAATCTGATGGCGTGTTTCAATCAAATGCGATGTTTATGCCTCGGGTAGCTGAGAGGCTGGGGAACATGAACGCCAAGAAAGAGAGGATGAGATTGCACGATCTCACATTAGAAATCATTCGCACCTACGTCGTTTTGCAGACAGATGCGCCACATAGTGAGAGGTGACGATTGATGGTTTCATCAGTGTGGAACAAACGGGTGGCTCGAGACTGATCTGTCCGTGCTTATCAGATTTGTTTTTCAAGCCGAACATCACAATGTAGTATTTGCTTGTTCTGCTACCATTTGTGTTTTTGCTTTCGGAACAGCCGCGTCGCGAACAAAGCAAAAAGTGACTGCAGCCGCACAATGACGTTTTTTCTCCTGGGATGCTTTCGCATTGACAAGCTCGGTGTCGCAAAAGGGCAGAGCAATAAAGAGTTTGTTCAACTTCACTGTGGGTGCGTAGCCGCAACCAGGTTTGTCAAGAAACACGAGAGATTTTCTGGGACCGAGAGTACCGCATGCGACCGAGGTGTGTCGCGTGGTGGGCTCCCCTCGTATGTTTGTGCAATGTTTGCGTAGGTAGCCCGCCCACCCCTCGGCTGCTGTCACAAGTGATGGTGCGCGAAAACCGTGATCAAAGTTATGCATACATGTGGGAAAAGTTAAGCGCGCAACAGAAGTTGCTTTTCAACAGATGGAATCCGGTGCATACCCTATCCGGTACGGACCATGGTTTGAAAGGCCCCTGCCGTGGTCACACCTAGTGGGAGATGTTTAGGCTGTGGTGATGGCGGAACCATTGGTTGGATGCCACTCTAGCTTTGAAATTGGCCGAACGCACGCTCGGGACCGAAAGTTAGGAAGGGACATGGTCAAACAGCGTTGGTTGCCCCGGGAGCAGCCATCGATGATCGGTGCAATAATAGCCGGGAAAGTACGGTGGTGGGTGAAGCATGCTAGTCAGCGAAAAACTCGTACGCGTGTGGTAAGGTGAAAGCTAGGTTTTTTTTTAACAAGCCGACGGCGCAGCTTCGTGCCCGACAAAGGAGTTACAGGCTTCGGAGATTCTGTGGATAAGAGGCAGGATTAGGGGTGGGCCGCCAATCTATTTGGATGGGCTGTAACACGAGGATAGCACGGGAGAAGTGTTCTGGAAGAATGGGGGGTCCCGGAGCAAATCCTGCTGGCGGTTGACGGCAACAGGTCGCCCAGCAAGGCGAGGACTTGGTTGCAAGACGCTTGGGACATTTTCAGTGGGTTGACAGTCAGGGTCTGTAGAATGACAGGGCGCACAGGGCCATGCAGAGGGGAACTGCGACATTTGGAGTACGAACGCGCTTGCCACCCCCAGGGCAGAGGGCACACACACACACACACACACACACACACACACACACAGAGAGAGAAAGAGAGAAAACAAGTGTCGGCCCAATTTGGGTCAGCGTGGGCAAAAACTCTGTCGAGGACAAGAATGGGTCTATTGATCGAGGGCAAGCAAGTGCGCCGCGAAGGTTGGCGGAAAAAAATAGAGTTTGGGTCTGGAGCACGCTGCCGTTTGGTCGATCAGAGCGAGGGAAGTTTGACGACGCGTCGGGCAGACCAAGGCAACCCCGCGCGGTGCCCTGCATGTGTCGAGGGCGGCATGGCTTGGAGTTGTGGCGTTGGGATGATGGCATGACTGACATTCAGGATCCCCCCTGAGGTGCCAGTGTCGCAGCGGGCACGAATTGGTGCGCCGCGAGAGGCAGGTGGGCAGCGAGGCAGAGGGAGATGTGGTCATATTCGCATGCCATGACGATGGGGAGCGCACATCATCAGCGCATCAAGGACGGTCCTTTTACTCGCCTATTCCTTGACTCGGACAGGGGATGAGTTCGACGGCGACAGAGACGGTGGCTGTTCCGGTGTGCCGCGGGAAGGCTAAAGGCACGCCTCGACAACCAAACCACGTTGACGGATGCGCACGACGGCATGGCTAGGCCGGTTGGGGCGAATCGAGTAAGGCTGCATGAGAGCCGGCCAGGAACCTACCACGACAAATCAGGAACCAGGCGCCGGCGGAGCGACAAGGCAAGGGATGCGAAACGTGGGCCGCAGTGAAATGACAGCCTGATGCTGGCCTGGTGCCTGTGACGTTCCTGGCGCGCCCTTGGGATGCTGGGTGCTGGGATACGGGCGGGCCTGGGCGCACGCGACGGGGCTACGCACACCAAGTGTGTATACTTTGTGCAACCGCGGGCGGATGGATGCATGTACATAGACAGTGACTTGGTGGATGGAAGCGTGCGGCGTGGTTGCAAGGCGAGTTGCAGCGGGGTGGTGGCGGGCATGGAGGGTGGCATGTGGTGGGAGAAGCAACGGTGCTTATGCTGGTGGGCGAGGGATTGCGGTGAGGCCAGGGCTGTGCATTGTTGTGCTGTCCTGTGCTGTCCTGTCCTTGTGCTGTGCTGGGCAGGGCAGGGCAGGGCAGGGCAGGGCAGGGCAGGGCATGGCAGAGCATTGAGGCGGGGGGTCGCTGTTGTGCGGTGAATTATAGATATGTAAGTGTGTATTGGGTGCGCACTAGATACTGACTATCTTATGTCAGTATGCATGTACGTTCACATGTAGAGTAAGTAGGCAGAGGGCGTGGATGGCTGGGGACGAGGGCCTGCACATTGACACGCATCAGCCCCCATGCACCCATGCACCCATTCACAGACACAGAGTAATGCACCGCACCGCACCGCACTGCACTTGCCGCACGTGACTGGGCACCACTCGTCGGGAAAAGAACGCGCAGGGGCCCAATGAAAGGGGGAAAATAAACAGTATTTCGCGGCCACTTTCACCTGCCCCATGTCGTCTTGCCCCGCTAGCCCGCTTCGGCGCGCCCAACGCTCCTTTCTGCTAAGCTTGGAACAGCCCTCGCGCCGTCCTTCACCACTCGCCCCGATCCCGTCGAACAGTCAGCCACCCACCACCCCTCCCTCCCACCCACACCCCCCCCAGTGCCCTCATCTCGCGCCATTCACCCTCGCATCCGTCTCCCCCCCCCAAAACAGACGCCACACTGCCCAGCTAAACTAACTCTCGCCCCTTCACTCAAAAACCAACAGCTCTGCGCCGTCATGCCTCCTGCTCCCGCCCTGACTGACCGCCATACTTCTGCTATCCCCCGCCTGGTCTCGCCGTGCATCTGCTTCGCGCGTTAGCTAAGCCCGCCCCATCGCGTCTCTCCGCCAGCTGCCGCCTCTGCTGCCAACGCACACAGCAGAGACCGCCCTCACCACAGCAACAGACCGGCTCCTGGCCCAGTAGACCGCACTTGCCCCGTCTGGGCGGCGCGATCTTCATTATTACGACTCATTGCCCTCTCGGAGCGTCGCTTCCACTCTAATCTCTTGGGTCTAGCCTCGCGACTCGTGCTAACGCCCATTTGCCGCACCCCTTGCTGTCTCTCATTATACACGCCCGTCCATCAATCACATCCACGTGTGAGTAGCCTGGCGCGTCTTTGTGTGCGTCTTGCCCATTGCTGCGTCACGTCTCGCTCCCGTTAGACCGTCGTGTCTTCGAACCACGCCCCCCTCCACTCCCGCCAAATCACCTGCGCCTGGCCAACCTCGCCCTCTTTCACTTGACATTCCATAATCCACATCCCTACTCCCCCGAACGCACAGGCGCGCTCCAATCTCCCAGCCCGATCATTAAGCCAGTCGAGCTATGATCACAGAGTCATTCCGCTTTCATCTTCACTAGAACTTCCTGAGCTACGGAATACTACCCGTCTACCGTGGTCCCGGGCACGTCTCCACACGTCCTCCCAACCGTCGTCTCTCATTTTCTCGACATTCCCGCACCTGCATCAACCTGGACCCTTACAACACCCTCCTATCGCATCTCACCCTTCGATACGCATTGAACTCCCCCTCCCCCTCCAGCTTGTCGACACATCATCCCTCTCCCTCTACTGGACCTTTCGTCACTGCTACCAACTCGATTCCTCGAATGACATGAACTAAACCCGTCCCGCCATCAAACACCACCGTCCAAGGACTTGTTCTACAGGCCAGTCTCACTCTACCCGTGACATGGTCTCACCTTCTCCTTTCTAACAACCCCACAGTCCTTTTTTCCATCAGGAGCATCTGCTACCAACAGATCTTCCAACACACAATCCGCTGCATAATCACATCAACATGCATCCAGAGTCACAAGTCCAGCCTCACGGCTGGGCATCCCTCGAGGAGAGGTATGAAGTGATGAAGGAGATTGGCGACGGCAGCTTCGGTAGTGTCGCACTTGCCCGCGTCCGAACTGCTGGCTCTCACATTGCCCGCCGCGGCACACTAGTGAGTACACGATGACAACAATGACATCGACCCACAGACTGACGCGCTTTTCAGGTGGCTATCAAGACCATGAAGAAGACATTTGATTCATTCTCAAGCTGCCTAGAGCTACGAGAAGTCATCTTCCTGCGATCACTACCACCACACCCTCACCTGGTACCAGCCCTGGACATCTTCCTGGATCCTTACACCCGTAGGCTCCACATTGCCATGGAGTTCATGGATGGCAATCTGTATCAGCTCATGAAGGCCCGCGAGCACAAGCCCATGGATGCACACAGCGTGAAAAGCATCCTCTTTCAGATCATGTCCGGACTGGAACACATCCACGACCGCGAGTTCTTCCACCGTGACATCAAGCCAGAGAACATCCTCGTCTCCACATCTCAACAAAACGACACATCGCACCCCTTCCGCCGATACTCCGCCATGATGACACCACCATCGACACCGCCAGTATACACGATTAAGATTGCCGACTTTGGACTCGCCAGGGAAACTCACTCCAAGCTTCCTTACACTACTTATGTTTCGACCCGGTGGTACCGCGCTCCCGAGGTCTTGCTGCGGGCCGGGCACTACTCAGCACCAGTCGATATTTGGGCTGTCGGCGCTATGGCTGTTGAGATTGCTACATTGAAGCCGCTATTCCCTGGTGGAAACGAGGTCGATCAGGTTTGGAGAGTGTGTGAGATCATGGGCAGTCCTGGAAGCTGGGTCAACAAGAACGGTCAGCGAGTTGGCGGTGGTGAGTGGAAAGACGGAGTCAAGTTAGCACAGAAGCTGGGCTTCTCTTTTCCCAAGATGGCACCGCACTCGATCGACACTATCCTCCCCTCCCCACAATGGCCAGCTAGTTTGGCACACTTTGTCACATGGTGTCTCCTATGGGATCCCCGAGCCAGGCCTACGTCCCGACAAGCTCTTGAGCATGAATACTTTCAGGATGCCGTTGACCCCCTACGGCTCAAGTCTTCATCGTCCCGACTGTTGGGCCGCAAGGGCTCTGAGCTCTCTGGAAAAGACTCACCTGAGGCCTCTCCTAAGCTCACATCAAAGACGTCCTCGTGGCTCCGCCGATCGTTGGTTGCTCGCGAGAGTGCCCCAGCAGTGCCTCAGCACGGCACTGTGAAGCCCCTATCACCTGCACAAGCCAGTTCTGGTGATGCGAGTGGGTCGACTAAGCAACGTCCCAATGCCACTAAGCGAGCTACGTGGACAAACGGGGCTTCCAACAATGGCGCGCCTATCCCCATTCTGCCTTCGATTAAGCCAATCTCACCGCTTTCTGCCGAGGTGACTGCACAAGCCAATGTTCGTGCCAACAACGAAGAGCTGGCTGCAAAGAAGATTGGTCGCCAGCTGTCTGTTGCTTCACACGGCAACCACTACGCAGACATGCACCGCCAAGAGGCCGAGCGGGCACTGAATGGTCACTCTGAAGTTGCTTCTCCTGTCAGTGCACACAAGGAAGGTTTCTTCTCACATCTCAGGAAGCGCGCTCGACGCTTGTCAGGTCGGTACCAAACCCCGATGTCGCCGAACTCGGATGACATTGAGGCCAACGCCGGATGCGCACCCTGGGCCACTGCCAGCAGCAGCGCTAGGCAGTCTTTGATCATGGAGCAGTCGTCACCAGCTCCAGCCCCGTCAGCCTCGACCTCGGACTTTTCTGAACTAGACAAGGCGTTGCAGCATGTAAGAGACAGCGTAGAAGCCCATTCCCAACAGTCTGGTTCAATAAAGAGCTCGCGCGCTGCATCGAATCCCATGCTTAAGCGCCACCACTCGGTCCCACATGGACCTGAGCCACGAAACGGAGAGACCAGTGGCGGTGCTCCTGTCTCGAGCAGGACACGTCGTGCCGTTCAAAACAAATCTAACCCATCCAATCGGTACGAGACACCAAATGAAGAAGAGGAGCTCCTC